AATTGTTAGTTTAATAAAAATTTTCTTATATACTGTAATTGTTTATTTTATCAATTTGACAATCAATTGTCATATCTATAAATCTTATAGGGACCGGTCCAATGTGTGATCTACCGATAAACTGCTATCTACGATAAAGCGTTATAGGTAGAACGTGTGATCTACTGAAAACATATCTATATTTTATATTATAGTGCTATACCTATATAATTATCGATATGATATGGATTTTACGACTGTATTGTATTTCTAAAATACATCATTTAAACATTCCGTTACCATTTAGCGTTCATTCGTGTCATTTCGTTTGTTGGTCAATTTTTTCAATTTTTTTTTATAACTATTTTTGTAACGATTTAAATTTTAAAATGAATTATATTACAACAATGGGTTATTTATTTAAAAATATAATTTTTGATGAATTGAAATTGAGCTCATACTCAAACAATAGAGTCGTTATGGGAGTTAGTCAAGTCTAAGTATAAAATTAAAGTTAATGGTGCATCTCCACTATTAGACCGCCAACTTAAAGAAGAATGATGGCGGTCATGCCACCTGGTACAAACTCAAATATTTGATGATTTTTTATCAGATTTAAAAAATACTTTTGCAGTATGGACATAATATATAGTTAATAGTTAATCACACATTGGACCAGCCATTTATTGGTAGATCACACATTGGACCAGCCGTTTATCAGTAGATCACACATTGGACTGGTCCCTAAAGTTTGCTACAAGTATTAGCCTACTTATTACATTTAAAAAATATATATGTATGTAATATAAAAAATACTATGTAACTACATGATAGATAAGTATTGCATGGTATAAATTATATAACGTACCTTTTTTAAATGATTAAAAATAATTAAATTTATTTGAATTCATGTGATAAATAGATAAAAGTGATAAAGATTAACTTTAAAGTTGTATATGTAAGAAAGATTGATAAAATATGAATTTCATTTAACTGTATAGCTTTGATTGAATATTAGGTAAATCTATTATTTATTTGTTATTATATATTTATGAATCTTTATATTGTATTTATTATAATGCATATTTTATATAAACTTCATTATGTTATTATATATTTTTATACCTACATTGTGATTTATATTTCTTTATGTTTAATACAATTTCAAAACATATACTAAATAAAAAAAAAATATTAAATATTTAAATGAACTATGGTTTTTTTTTTTTTATTACCTATATTTAAATTTCAAATGATAAATTATTTGAAATTTGCATACCACTTTTTGATGCAGCAATAATAATTTCAGTTATTATATGATCAGAAAATTTTATTGAAATGATTTGTGATTGAAACCTATTTGTTGGATATGAACAGATTATATTTTTATCAGTAACAAATATATTTGATTGAAATGATAAAATTAATAATCTTGACAATAAATTTCTTATGATTTGTTTATCAAATAATGTTTCCTGTTAATAAAATATTTTATTGTATTAATGAAATATTTTATTGTATTGATCAGATATTTTGTTAAAATAGTGTTAGCAATGACAATTTTATGTGATCAAATTAATAATGTAAATTTAATCAAAACGATAAAATGTTTATAATTTTTCAAGATGATCATGAATTGACAATTTATTGTTGTTAGTTGGACAAATCTGTTTGTTAGCTGAATAGTGACAAATATTTTGTTGATCAAATCCAAAGTTTATAGATAATAGAGGTTGCATCAATTCGAAAATTAAGAAAATGTGGGAGTGGGAGTAAATTGTCCGTGATGTCAGCCGTCGTACAAAAACTCGCTAATCACTATAGATATAATAAGTGACAGTAGTTTTTCAGAAATTATCATCGAAGATAAAAATGAAATGAGTAAAGATGCAATGGAATATTTGGCAGGGTGGGTTGCAAAAAAATATAGACTACAGCTTCTAGAATTGGGTTCAACTACAACTCAGTATAATACTGCTCAAAACGAAAATAGTCATGATTATACTATGCCATCATGGATAAATCATTTATCCTATGGTGAACTGATAGTTCCTAGTTATAATTTTAAAACTCATATTTTTAGAATTGAAAAATTATTAAACAAAATTACCAAACAACAAATTCCAAAAGGACCTAAAGTTGTTAAAAATTTGTCTAAAAAAATTATTAAGAGAATGAAAATTGAAGAAAAACATAAACCTGTTATGCAGACGTATGAAAACAAAGAATACTTATTCGTATGAAATATTTAAATCAGCATACAAATATTTTAAATAAAAAAGAAAAGCAAAACTTCAGCTCCAAAAACTACAAAAATTAAAAAGACTGATGACTTAAATGTAATCCACTACAATTTAAATTATTAATGTAGGTATTATTTTTATTTGTTTTTGACTGAACTATTTTTTATATTATTTTTATATTTTTATATCAATTGTGTAAACTTACAGTTTACTTAAGCATAATTATTATTATTATAATATTAATGCTGAAAAATACTATTTTTAATAAATTTAATTAATATGTATAACTATAATGCTTTATAGTTGATATGCATATTATTATAGAAAATAAAAATGCATTTGTTAAAATAATATTTACGATGTAATTCAAACAATAATATGGGCATATTATTGATCAGTGTCCAACACTATAAGAACTAAGAGCTCATACTGAGGTTTTTCGCGTACAGGAAATGTCTGGTAAGTGTTTTGGTGAAAAGACTGCTCAAGTAGTTCATGGTTAAGCAATTTCTATTCTCAGCATACCGATTGGTGATGAACAATATTTATTATTTGATGCGACGCATATGGTGGGTGGTAGGTACTTTGCAAAGTAAACTTAAAATTAGAGCCAGGACCTGCGGAAGGTGTGTGCGACCATTATTTCATTTCCACATTATTGATTTTCAATCTAAGATGATGTTAAAAGAAACATGTTTTATAATCAAAGAACGATAAAAATATTAATATATAAATATTGTACTTAAAAACAATAAAAATACTTTATTAATAAATAATAATTATAAACTTGTACTACAGACTATAGTGTCATACAAACAATAAATACCCGCTAAATTTTGTACGACGGGCGACGTCACTGGATAGGGGACGGAGCGGTGGGTTTTGATTTGTTTACACGACTTTGAGGCAACCTCTATTATCTATAAACCTTGGATCAAATCTATATTTTTATCAATGTTACCAAGGTTTTTTTTTCAGTGCGCATTAAGCGTATTCATAGCAGGTATATCGCAATCTATAGAAATTATATTAAAAGCGCGCAACGTAAAAATATTTGAAGAGGCAGTATTGCACGCAATGGAGGAGGAAAAGACAACCGATTATTTTAATAATGCGAATAGCAATAATTATAATAAAAATAAATTTGATAAAAAAAACACTAGAGATAAAAGCACGATTAAATGCTATCGATGTGAAAAATTCGGTCATTATGCTAATGAATGTAGAACAAGCGAGCATAAATTAGCTACTTTCAAGAATCCGAATAATGGACAAAGTCCAAAGACCGAATTTAAACGCGAATATTCTAGTAAGTTCTGCAAATACTGTAGAAAAGCGAATCACGATATAAGCGAGTGCCGTAAATTAAAACGTAACGAACAAAATAAAACCGTAGAAAGAAATGATCAGGGAAATCACGATAGGTCTATCAGTGAAATACAATCGGGAAGTAACGTTCGTATAATAACATCAATAACACAGGAGCATATTACATGTTTTTCGGATAAATTTGTTAAAAACGAAATTAAATTTTTAATTGATAGTGGTTCTGAAATGAACATTATAAAAATTTCAAGTTTAAAAGGGGCACATAATCGTAAATGAAAAAGATAAAAAACAGATTAAGGGCATTAAATGCAAATCCAGTAGAAACAGTAGGGGATCTGTGGTAATTCTAATTTACATTAACAAACAACTTTTTACAGTTAAATTCGATATTGTATACGATAACTTTCCGATACCTGAAGCAGGTATAATAGGCATAACATTTTTGAAATTAAATAAAGTCGTCTTAGATTGGGATAAAGAAATATTATTAATACCAGAGAAAAAAGAAATAGATAATAATGTATTATTCCACCGCGAAGTAACTGCGTTTTGCAAATTTGAGCGGACGAACAAATCGAGCACGAATTTATTACGATAGAAAAATGCGAAATTAATGAAGACGTAATTATAGCTAATAATATCAGTCCGGTCAAAGATGATAAAATAATAAGTAATATAGTAAATATATCGGAACAACCATTTATTATCGATCAATTAACCACGAGTAATTTTAAGTGGAAACCTTATAATGATTGCCTTTTTTTTTTTTGCTAACGAAGGGAAATACGCGGATAATAAAGTTAGGAAAATTAAGGAAACTATATTAAAACGGAACACCTTAACAACGAGGAACGTAATAGTATAATAGACCTTTGTATTCGTTTTTCTGTTTATTTTTCTTTGAAGGTGATCGACTAAGTGCTACTGATATAGTTACACATAAAATAAGTATTGCAGTAACCACGATCAAGTGACAGCGACTGGTTACTACATAAAAAAATTTTTTTTTTTTTTTGGATTTAAAATTGAACAGCGATAACAATCGCATAAAACTGTGAAATAAAATAAGAAAAATTTAAGTGAAAGACCACACCAACTAGTGGGTAAATGTATTTCAAAACCTGTGAACAATGAATTTTGTAACGAAACTTGTAAATAATGAAATTCGCAACGACAGCGTCATACCAAAATATTGAAAGACGCAAAGAAAACAATATATATTTTATTTTTTAATTTAATTTTTTATTTTTTTTAATTTTTTTTTTTTTTAATTTTTTTTCTGCAACGACAGCGTCATACCAGAATATATATATTGAAAGACGCAGAGAAAACAATATATATTTTATTTTTTAATTTTATTTTTAATTTTTTTTTTTTTTTAATTTTTTTTCTGCAACGACAGCGTCATACCAGAATATATATATTGAAAGACGCAGAGAAAACAATATATATTTTATTTATTTTTTATTTTTTAATTTTTTTTTAAATTTTTTTTTCCGCAACGACAGCGTCATACCAGAATATGTATATTGAAAGACGCAGAGAAAACAATATATATTTTTTTCTTTTTTTTTTTTTGATTTTTTTAAATTTTTTTTAAATTTTTTTTTTCCGCAACGACAGCGTCATACCAGAATATGTATATTGAAAGACGCAGAGAAAACAATATATATTTTATTTATTTTTTATTTTTTAATTTTTTTTTAAATTTTTTTTTCCGCAACGACAGCGTCATACCAGAATATGTATATTGAAAGACGCAGAGAAAACAATATATATTTTATTTATTTTTTATTTTTTAATTTTTTTTTAAATTTTTTTTTCCGCAACGACAGCGTCATACCAGAATATATATATTGAAAGACGCAGAGAAAACAATATATATTTTATTTATTTTTTTTTAAACTTTGACATTACCACATTTACCGTATGTACCTTTGGGTTTCTTCATTGAAATCCAGTCACGTATTGACATGTCTATTAAAGTGTGTTTCGGATTTTTAACACCATGTCTATTAAGAAATGTACCACAAAATAACAGTCGTGGATCAACACCGTCAACCACCACATAGGATCGCATAATATCAGGTTGACGATAGAGAAAAAACGGTACGGCACCCACACTTGACAAAATAGAATTGTTCAGACTTTTTGGAGCATATTCATATAATGTTATCACAATACTATTAACTGGAGCACGGGTTTTAATGTCAGATTCATACTGTGCCCAAACACCTCTGTTAAAACTATTGAATTGCGGTATAAAATTGGTGGCTGTTTCATTACCACCCAATATAGTTGGAATAATATGACCAGCATCACAGTCAGCTTGATGCTCACACGCAAGTTGCACTCCTAGTTGTATATTACTTGGATTAGTTCTTTTATCCTGTACACCCACATTATCATATGAATAACACGATGTCACCAACATATTTGCCATTCCGTTATGGAATATTGTTTTATAATGGTGAGTTATCTTGTTAGTAATCACCATTCCGTTTGTCGTCGTCCATGTATAGGTACCATAGTCAATAATGTCGTAAGATGGTAATGGATATACAATGTTATCTGGACATCCTCTTGATATGTCATATGTCTGAACTATTGTGTAACCATTTAAAATTACGATAATAACCAAAACAAAAATCATAGTGCTTTTCAGTTCACTACACTATTGTCTACTAGTAATTAACTACTAACTAGTAACTATCATTTTAATTGTAGAATTATTAGTATAATTATCAGTGCTTGATTTGGAAAAAAAATAGAAGGGGGACTCATCGGATGTTTGATAAACAAGCGTTCCACACAAAATTAACCGTCACATTAACGTGGGGACAAATAGAAGGGGTACGCTAAAAAAAAAATTAAAAAAGAAGGGGGACCCCCCCCCCCCCAAATCAAGCACTGATATACTAAAATTAGTAAAAAAATGTGTACCTAAGCTATAAAGAAGAAATTTCTTTATTATTAAATATTTATAAAAATGACACTAACAGCTGATCGAGTTTTTGTTTACCCATGATATGAATTTTGAACCACGAACTAGTAGTTAACCAGGGTTTATATTTTATACTGTGTATATATATGTACTATATATTATATACTATAATGTATTAACCACGGACTAAGATAGTATGGACTGGAAACGAATTGCGAGCGGGGCGGATAGCCGGGATGGTTAAGGTTTGGGAGAGACGAAACTGGGAGAGAAATAGTACCACCTAGCCTCGCGCGCTACTTATATTCAATAAATGCAATCTTATCAGGAATAAATTAATGTGTTATTACTATTATTATTTAATATTATAACTGTTAAAAACTATAACTTGTCTCTTCTATTTTATTTAAAAATTCAACAAATAAAAATAAAATTTAAATAAAAAATAATATTAATAACTAATATACATTGTTATGTAATTACAAGTTTTGAACTTTTCTTTTTCTGAGCATTTTTTTTGTTTTGATCATTGTTTGAAATTATAGTGTATTGACACATCCTCATCTTAATATAATAAGATATTATAAATGTCAGTGTTTCAATTTTATGTATACTACATGGAAATGTTTTAATTGAATTATACTTTTTGTTGAAAAAATCATCCACTGTCTGTTGGAAGACATCATAGTCATTACAAAATGTTTGAAATTATTTTTCTACATTCATCAACAAATTAAATAGAAACACGTTTGGATAAATTAAACTTCCTCTACTTTTGATATTAGTTAGTGTTGCCTCAGTTATATCACAAAATGATGATTGACCTAAAATAATAATATATAGGTGTAATCGAATAATTTAACAATTAATTTAATTGCTTTGCTTTACTCATTACTGCTTTTTGACAATTGCTGCACTTAATGTGTTTATTAATGTATCTTGAGACATACCCACAGATGTAATATAATATGCATGATTCTGTATCTGATTTATAATAATCATGATCTCTAAAAATGTCCTCTTAAAATACATTGTCTACTTCTATATCTTGAGTAATAAATGTATCAAGCCTTTCTTTTAAATGATTAATTTTTAGTCGTCTTTCAGGTAGTATGTCATTTTTACTAAAAACTTCCTTAATATCATTTAAAGTTAATTTTGGTTGTGTAGAGTCTAATATTATGCAATTACCACTCTTTGGAGGCTTTATTATGGAATACACTGATAGTAATTTGTATACCTGCAAGAATGTTGGACAGTTCGGGTGATCATTTGGACCAGTTGCTTGTCTTGCCATACCAAAAAATTGCTATTGATATAAAAACAAGTTATTATCATATGAATTATCAACCAACGCTTAAGTTTTAAAATGAATAACATTTTGACTAAAATATATAATAATTTGTATTTATTTTACTTCTAGGCGATCCTGGTTCATTTTAGAAGATAAAACATATTTAAATCCACATTCTTCCAAAAGATGCTTGGACAAATCTATTACTGATTTAATTGTTATGCGTAAACCTTCAGCAGTTGATTTTGTTAAAAATTCAACTTCAGGAATATAATGGTTGAGTACATTGTCTTCCCATAAATCAAGCCACACTAAAGTATTTTCTAATATCTTTTAAATCACACATTTATGAAAATAATTGTAAGGATAATATTTTTATTTAATTTATATTAGTACATTTTTAGATCTAATTATATTGTTTTACTTACATCAAAGTCTTGACTATTATGTTTAATGCCTTCCGCTGGATGCCTTCGGTTTAATGCATCAAACAGACTGTTCATTCGTTCTATGAATATTTGTGCATGTTCACTGTTTTCTAATGACTTGATTTTTGCATGGCAACGGTAATATTCAATTTCTTTAGCCATAGAATTACTGAAAATCTATAAAATAATGAAGTTATTAATTAATTGAAATTAATAAAAAAAAAACATATTACCTGCGTAGCTAATTTTACATTCATCTTACTAAAACTGTCCGGTGCCAAATGTCTGTGAGTAATTTTTGGACACACCCTCGATGGAGCAATAGAATCTCTTTCTAAATCATTTTTATGTACCTCTTTATAGTAGTGTAAAAAGTTATAGATTTAAATTTATTTATTAATTTTTATAAATATCACATTGCAATTTACAACGTAATGCATAGTAAAATAATTAATTAATGATTTACAAAATAAATTTACCGGGAATTTGATTTTTTGATATTTTTCTTTTTATTTAAAGTATTATTTAAAAAGCGACGACGAGTAGGAGTTAATGTTGGTCCAATTCGTTTTGAATTTATCAACATTGATCTTTTCTTATATTTTTTAAATATTGGAAATAAATAGTCACAATTTAGGCATCTTTTTTTTCTATTTAATAATAAAGAGCACTTCTTATGACGCCAAATCCCATTATTATTTGTTGCTGTTGGAATAGATATTCCTAGATAAATAAAATTTGAAAATCATTGTTAAAAACTGAATGTTCTAATAATATTAATAATGTAATAAAAATATAAAATACATTGAATTTATTACCGGGAAAATGTATTGCCATAAGTCCACCTTGACAAACTTGTTTGTAATTAAATGAACCAATTACTTCAGATAAGTTCTTGGTGTTTATTGGGTAAGTTAGTGAAATCAATCCTAAGCTTGCAGGCTCTATTAAAACATTATAAACATAAAAGTTTACACTCATTTCATCATTGATGACTATTTGTTTTTCGATGACAAGTTGATTGACTTTATAAATAGGCTTATACAATATTACAATTTGTCTATCTATATAAGTTGACCATCCAATTGGTAAATTCAATGAATTAATTAATTCATTAAAAAACACTGATTTCTGTAAACAAATTTGCATCAAGTAAGTAAATATATGGGAACATAATGCCTCTTATGGACTATTTAAAATAAAAAAAAACATAATATGCAATTTAATTTTCATGGTAGGTAAACCAAGTAAGGTTATTTGGGTACTATTTATTATTAAAATTATTACTTGTAAATCTGCTAAACAAATTTGTTTGCTTGGTACATTTGTTACTGTAGGATTAACAAAATCAATATTTCTTTTTAAAGTGACATTCTTAAATTATAAAAATATTATTTAATATGATATATTGTAAAAATAAAACAATTCAAATATTAGTATTAGGTACTTTTATTGGAAAAAGTTCTTTTCTAAATGACTCAGTTATTAGTGAAGGTTTGCATATATTTATTTGTTTAAATACAGATGGTATAGCTCCTTTTTTTAATTCATATATTTGCCTTTTAACAAACCTCTTTTAAAAAATAAATTCAATGTATAAACATTGTATTAGATAATTAAAAATTATTTACAATTGTATATATTATTTCACTTTATAATAGTAGTTGTATATTATAATTTATATTTTACATACATTAGCAACATCAAATGGGATTGAATAATCAGTGATTATATCACCAGGTAAAAAATGCTCAGAACAAATATATTTTAAGGACTTGAACTGGCTGTTAATAGCATTATTTACTACTGATTCCCAAGCTATTTTATTATAACTATTCACTTTGAATAGTGTTACTTTTTTATTATTTTCTCTACTTTTACATCCAACAATAGAACATTTACGCATGTTGGACAAACGATTTATGTATCATACAATTTAATATACCAGTTAAATGTGCTGTAAGTGATATTTTGTAATTTAAGTATTATATAATACCATGTTTTACATTTTATTTTACATATGTCTTAGTTCCGTGAACTTATTATTTTTCATTCATTCATTGACTATTTGTAGACATTTATAAATTGGAGGGAAAGTTCATAAATTAAATATCTCGAATTAAGATATACTATATCTTAATTCGTGTTAAATATTAATGAATGGTTCATTAAAATGAACATAGATAGAGCGCGAGACGGGATCGTACTTCCCCTCCCCCTCCCCCGATATACGTCTCACCCATACCACAAGCAGCCCGCTGATATGATTATCGTTTCCAGTCCATACTATCTTAGTCCGTGGTATTAACCTTGGTAGCTGATATGGTTATCAATATTCGTAGTGTTAACGTTAGATAACGCCACAGCGGCCCGTGACACATCAAGGTAACAAATATTATGCCCTTAAGCCCCTCTGGTTTAAGCCAAGAGTCAAGTCCGCTTGACGTTTTGAGTTTTCACAAGCCACCGCCATCATAACAACTTGGAGAATTAAAGGCTAGTGGAATCTAAACTTAACAACCGACTGCCGTCGTTCGTCTCTTACCTGCCCGTAAGCGTGAATTGTCCTTGTTGTCATTGTTCACACATTGTGCGAGAAGATGAGCGTCGACATGGTGGAAGATGGTCAGGTAACGACGATAATTCATATTATCTAACTAAATGACTGTTGTCTGTAAAACGGTAATGATTATTAAAACATTGTCAATTTTGGGTACCTATGGTATATCTGTGATAGATTTATACCAAACCGAGGAGAATGAGTAACTTTTGAAATAATAGTAACAAGTTGACTGGCGTTTGGCAAGCTATTTGAAGTGGAACTGTTCCAGACATTTTGAGAGTTAAATTTAATACTCATATATTTTTCCTTCAGCACAATCTAAAATATTATGGTTTACCATTATATGGTTTGGGTACTATTTATAATGAAAGTCTATTTTAGTTATCTATCTGTTTTTACAATTAATATTGAATTAACTGGGTTTTAGAAAAAAAAAGTGAGAGTTAAATTAACCTATCATAACCTATTGTAATATTTTTAGACATTTTTGAATGGATTTTTTTTATATTATTATTGTTATTGAATGGTTCATTATCTGATTAGTGATATATTCGTTTTATTATGGTAAAATAGTAGTGTTATATTATGAGTGTCGTATTTCTTCTTATGTACATATTATTTTGTGACCACGTTTAATACTATATTTTTTTAAAACAAAATTTGATTTTATTCGCTTACATTTTATTTTGAGTAAACAAAATGGACAATAAAAAGTTCATTAAAATTGTTTTTTATAATTTAGTAAATTAGAAAGATACAGTCACTCTTTATGTAATTTATAAACTAATTAAAAAAAAAAAATTAACGTTTTTTCTAAATTTAGTAAAGTTAATATTATTTTCTCTATTAAATTTTAACTTATTGAGTTAAATTTATGATTTGTGAATGGTTAATTTATAACTTATCAATTTTGTGTTCTTTTAACTCAACTCAATTTGAGTTAATTATTTTGATTAATTTGCCTACCTTTGCGTAAGTATATGTAACTCGACCTATTCGGAGTTAATTTATAAGATGATCAATTTTGATTAGGTTTTACATGGTGAAAATACATTAGCATATACAATTGGATTTAGAGAACTTATTAAGTTGAAAACAAATTATTATGATATATTTAAATACAATTTTAGTATATTTTACTTAACTGATAATCTGGTAACAATACTTGGGGCAAGCCATGAAACGAGATTAGTTCTGAACATATTTAGTTTGTAGGCTGTCGAATTATTACTTATTATAAATTTAGTTAAATAATCATATATAGTGAAATTATACCTATATAGTAGGAGTGTAATTATACAGAACTAATGCAAAATGACATACACATCTGGAATATATTTATTATAATAATAAAAGTTAAATACTGTAAAAGTGTGACAACAATTAATTTAAATGTAATAATGCTTGCATGTATTTAGGACGAGGAGAATTCAGAATATGGCGGATGCGAGGGTCCAGATGCCATGTATGTCAAATTAATATCAAGTGATGGGCACGAGTTTATTGTCAAGCGAGAGCATGCCTTGATGTCAGGCACAATAAAAGCTATGTTAAGTGGTCCTGGTCAGTTTTCAGAAAACGAAACAAACGAAATTCATTTCAGAGAGATACCGTAAGTAGCAGTGACGATGGCCATCATATAAATATATGTTATATAAACTCTGGTAACAAGTCTTAAAATAATTTTTTTTTTGTTTTTCTTATAGCTCTCACGTTTTACAAAAAGTTTGTATGTACTTCACATATAAAGCTCGTTATACAAACAGCTCAACTGAGATTCCCGAGTTCCCTATTCCACCACAAATCGCTTTGGAACTTCTGATGGCAGCCAATTTTTTGGATTGTTAATGTTGAGTAATAAAAATGGATATTTACAAATTATTATAATCACAGAATTTAAACAACCAAGCTTTTGAAACATATTTATCTTAAACTTAAATAAATAAATGATTCGTAATTGATTTTTTTGTATTCATTATTATACTTATTTTGTATCAAATACATATATATATTATATATGTATAATATAACTATTTTCTTTTTTTATATATATTTTTTTTAAACATACTTTAGTTATCTACATTTTATAAAACTTTAAATGTTTTAATTTTCATTTATTAAAAAATTAATTTAATATTGTTTAAATGAAAAAATAGTACAGATTATAATAAATAAAATAAAATCAATCAATGGGAAAAAAAAGCAATTATTATAATAAATGCTAAAATAGTAAAACCTTAAAATAAAATATATTTTGCATAATTTTTTATCAAATAAAGTATTTGAATACTTTATTTTAACATATATATATTATATTCTCATAGGCGTGCTCAGACTTTTTAGTCAGATATAGCTGAATTCAATCTGACCATTCGCTTTCCCACGATCACGATTACACAAGAAAAAAATTATGCCTATGTGCAACTAGTATATCTTAAATTGTGTAAATATCTATGATTTTTTTATGGATATAACGCCTTCTTACTTTCTTAGGTACCAAGTACCCACCCATGTATAAAGAAAACAGGCTTAGGTGAGGCTAAAGTCCAATCATCCCTGCTTGTGTGCACGCCTATGTTTATTCTATACTCTAACTTAAACTCAAGTAAATTCAAATATGTATTATGTAATTAACAATGTTTATGCTATCCTACATGTTAATTAGTTGAAAATTGTAGTAATGCACACAAAAATAGATATCAATGAAATAAAAATGATTTTTAAAAAAAACAGTTTTTATATTTATACCACTAATATATATATATATATAATATAGTTAACTCATATTTTGCTACAACTAGGAACAGATTAGTACAGAATAATTTTCCTAATAATATGCATAACACACGGCCTTTACCAGAAATAAATATTAACAATCTATCTAACACAAGACCAAACTTTAAGCTAAATACCAATGGTAATTATGAAATTAAAGTATATTGAATAATCTGAATAACTACTCATCACCTGGTCCCAATGGCCTAACCGATGATCTTACCTATGGTTCATGTAATAAACTGTAGTACAACTAATGGTACAGTACCTGATGAGTTAAAAAGCAAAACTTTTACCGATTCATAAACATGGGGATAAAACCGATTTCACTAACTATAGGCCAATTTCATTAATAGAAATCCTAGCCAAAATCCTTGAAAAAATAGTAAAAAATCAACTATTAGAATACTTGGAGCATTATGAAATTATATATAATGTACAATATGAATTTAAAAGAAACTTAGGAATAGAAGGTGTATTATTCGATCTAACCAATTTTTTGTATAACAAAAGGGATAATAAAAAAAAATTAATATTATTTTTAGACCTAGAAAAGGCATTTGGTTCAATAAGCAGACAATTATGATTAAATAAGTTAAAATAATTAGGCTTTGATGTAAATGCATTAAATAGGTTTAATAGTTTTTTGAGTGATAGATAAAAATTAACCACAATTGGGTCTCATTAAAGTAGCTATTGTAATGTCAAAAATTATGGAGTGACATAAGATAGGCCCTATATTATTCCTAATTTATATTAACTCAATATCTGTATCATTATTAAAAGGTAGGTTATTCATGTTTATTGATGATATAGCGCTAGTTAATGTCAATGACAATTGGGAAGAATTAAAACATTTAAAACTAAGTGTTGAAGGTGACTTAAAACATATCTATAATTGGATGAAAAAAAATGTGTTATTCCTTAATATAAATAAATCAGTATACATGCTGATAATAGTCACAAGATGTTCTCAAACTGTCTGATGGATACAATTTTATAATACATAAATATAATACTAATTCAACTAGTAAAACTATAAACCAATTAACATGGTATTATCATTTAAATATTTAGGAATAACGATAGATTTCGATTTGAAATATCAAACTATATTACATAGAATGTTAAAAATAAAATGAGAAGTTCGACCACTATATTTTACAAAATTCGTTTTTTAAATAAAATAATAATAAGACAAGTATATAAATATATGGCATTATGTAATTCAATTTTATTATATGGTATAACATGTTAGGGAGGCACAAATAGAACAGACATAAACACAGTATACTTTACCCAAAAAAACAATAAAATTAGCTTACCTACTCTCTTCCGTTGACATATTCATCAGTTAAGTTATTTAAAGACACAATTACACAATTACACTATATATCTATACATATTACATTAAACAAATTTTCAAAAAATCCATACAAAGGCACATACTCAATGATATAGAAATAATAGATAGAACAAGAAAGTAAATAAAACCTCAAAATGCAATATTAACCAGTTAAAGAAGTTCTCCCGATTACATGGCAAAGACTATATTCAATAATTTGGAAAATGATGTGGAATAAATCTAGTTTGGCGCTCACGCGAATTTTTCAAATTTTTTTTTCTTTCATGAACCTATGTATTTCAACGAATTAGAACGATGGTACAAAAATAATTCGACGTAAATCATTAATTTTTAAGTTTAAGTCTTGCAAAAACTACGATTTTTGTGTTTTGCGCATGCGCACAACGCTCTATTTTACCGCGCTTTTATTGAGTTTTTCAATTATTTTGTTTAAAACAATAAAACCTAGGTCAGAGTTCTCCGCGAACAGTGATACAGTGCACACGTATATTTCATTGTTTCCGAGTTATGTTTAACCATTATTTGTAATTCTCAACGGATTTTTGTGTAGTTTGTCTCAAATTACTATAAAAATTGCACCAATTTCTACGGCGTCGCTCAAGTCAAGCTATCACAAAAAAAAAAAAAATCACCACAACTTGGAAAAAGTAATATAATTAATTGCACTAACTAATTATTATACTTTTATCTAATACCTTGCGCCTCCAGGTACCGTCATTACGATGACCTTTGGACCGCAGATATGATTGTCACACTATGCCACTTAACAATGCTAGCAATGCTAGAAATACTCAACTCTCAAGCTTAAACAGTACAACCAAATAAGCATAAATCCAGTAATCTAAGTTAGATTTTCTAACTGTTATCGAATCCACTTCGTCCAGCGACGAATGGCAACAATAACAAAAATCAAAAACACAACACACACCCCCCTCTACACTGAATTCTCCGTCAACTCCATCCAGCCGTCAACCTGTGATAAAAAAAAACAAAACTTTTCTTCTCACCTAACCGATATACAGTATTATCGGAAAAAGAAGATGATATTGCCGATAATAACGCAACCAACGTAGTACGTACCCGACATAAATGTGCCACCCGCACATGAAACTACTCAAACAAATCAAACTAATATAAATAAAAACAATCTACCTCCGCTAATATTCGTAAAAGGAACAAAGAAATACTCCGATCTTAGAGAAGCAATTTTTGATCTAATTGGACTCGATAGCTTCATCTGTAAATCTACCACAGCCCATATAAAAATCTAAGCAAATACTAGTGACAACTACAGAGCATTAATACACTTCTTACAAGATCAAGGAGCTGAATACCATACCTTCCAACCTCAAACAGACAAATCAATCCGAGTAGTAATTAAAAGCATTCACTATACTACCGATCCCACGGAAATCTTAGAAGCGCTAGAAGAAATTGGCTTTACCGTGAGACAAGTAGTAAATATAAAACACCAGAAAACTAAAATGCTACTGCCCATATTCTTTGTGATCTTGCTCCTGAAGCTATTAGCAAGGAAATATTCAATATTACCTACCTACTAAATACAAAAATTAAGGTCGAAGAGCCACATAAACGACGCTCCGCAATGGTAATATTTGTTACCGGATTTATAACATTAGTACCGTTACTCATTAGTACCTACTTAGTAGGCATGTAGAATTAATTTTGTATTTTGCCCAAATAATACTTCTGATTTCTGGTTATTCTGTGATATTTCTATAAAACCAAGAGGATCTGTATGATCTGATACATACGTTTAATTCATTATAAATGTTTATAAATTTGGTTATACTGAATTTTTGTTATTTCTATTATCCCGTGTACGTTGGCTTTTTTCCTCATAACATTCATAACCGTTAGCTGTTTTTAGGTTTTTAAAATTTTTACGCGACATCGCAACAGCGAGTACTCACGTCTGTTTAACTGTTTTTAGTAAAATTTCTTGAGTTTTTAGTTTTTACAATAATTGTATTATACTACTGTGTGATTAATGGTTATGTAGTATATCAATTATACTATGTAAATAAGTATAAAAAATGCAAAAGTATAAAGGCATAATATATGTTTATTTAATCATAATTATAATGGAAGGCAGAACTCAGATATATATCTTTTAAGATGGTTTCAAATGCGTCTTGTTCCCCGAGACGTGTTCTCCAAATAAATTCTGTCAAATACGATTCCTCAAAATTTCTTTTAGTTCCCGACGTTTTTCATTTCCTCATTTAGCAGAACCCCACAACCTCTCAGTGTTTTTGGTGTGTGCCCCTATGTCTGAATTAGCAAATTTATAGGTATGGTTAACCATATTATATTGAAAACCCACTTGCTGTACATTATTGTAAGCTTTCCAATAAACTGAAAAAATTATTGAGCCCGGTCTTTTATAATTTTTTATTATAGGTAATAAAATTGTTCATATTGGTTTGAAGTAGGTACGAAATCCAGCAACTATTACCTACTAATGACGGGGTGATACATTTTATACAGTGTAGGTACTGGCTAAGAGATAACAAACAAATACCAAAATTTTTTTTTCACAATTCCATTAAAAGAGGTTGTCTCTGTTTTTATCTTTTACCTATATTTTTTAAAATACACTTAGAGACTGCAAATATTTTCAACAAGTCGATTAAATTTTCATAGTAGGAAAAAGGTATCGCATCAATTGAGTGCTTGTTGTCGTATGATAAAACGTTTCGATTAGATAAAGACATTACAATACAATATTACAATGTATAATAGCTTATTCATTTCGTGACCAATTTATTTCTGTAATGTTTTACCATACCTTATCTCCGATAATTCAGATGTAAACCGCATTATTTTTAGTCTTTACTAGAAACAAGTGCCAATATTTATATTTCAGCAGTATTTGTTATTATAATACTCGAGTATCATAAACCATGTTTAAAGATTCATTTTAAATATTAATTATTGGCGGATTTTTAAAATAAAATTATTACATATATTATAGTAGGTATTTTAGTTGTCGGTCGATTGTCCATCTCCTGTATACTTGATATTTGAATGAAAAGGTCTAGAAAAAATAAATTATTAAATAAATCAATGGACATCGTTTATAAATTATCTGTTTTGTCTTTGTGCAATAAACATTTTGAACAGAGTTGTAGAAGTCCTAGATTTTAGAAACTTATTCATAACTTAGTGCCAAAATTAATTTTATTAGGTAAAGCCTATATTTTAATTTTATGTTTGTTGTTACTTTAAGCTGATATTTATTAATATGCACTGTATCTTAACAAACAAAGTGGGAATGCTTACAAAACCCTTTTTAAGGTCTTCGCTCTGCCTTCTCAAAAATCCATTATGGATTTATTCAAAAATATCCCTTTTGATATGGAAATCAACTATAGGATTTCTAAGCATTTGAAAACCACTGTTAAAATATTGAAGAATATATTTATAAATTTCATCGTTATTGTTCAATAAATTTTGATGAAATATCGATTTCTTCTTTATTAAAGTTTATTGCATCAACTGAAAAATAGTAGGATTTGGTAACTAGTTAAAAACTATTGAAGGAATCCTGTTACTTTGTAAAAGACTATTAAATGATGGTTTTATGTAATGTATGTTCTACTTCATAATTTCAACCAGGATCCAATTGAAAATGTTTTTGGTTAAATTTGAACCCATGGAATCAGAAATATTAATCTAACTCCTGTAAATTTTATTTCATTTTTTAAAGCCCTCGTTATAAATAATTTTATATCAAGGTATTCTGTTGGCGTAAATTACGAAGACGATGACTGTGATGGAGTTTTAAATAATTTAAGAGAATTTTCATTTAATAAACTGTGAATTGAAGAAGATACCGTTGAAGAAACTTTTTGTAATGACTAACATCAAACTTCTCTATTCCCTAGAACTCTGTAGAACAGATATCTATAAGGGAGGAGCTCTTGAAGTTTTTGCGGTTAGCCTTGGACTTTGGATCAATAATGCTAACACCGGAGATCACCCTACCTTCCAGAAAGGGGCGTTCACCTCTGTCATGTTGATGTTTCTTTCTCCAGCTCTGATTCCTTCGAGGTTGTTGACTAGGAGGTATTCAACACCTATTCTGATAGATCACAATTACATCGTATTCAATTTTATCCTCTATACTCGAGAATGTTTCTCAGAGTGTACCTGTTGGTAATTTATTTTGTAGTGAACAGCTTGTAAGCTATTAATTTATTCGTATGTAAGTCATAAAAATTAAATTTAAATAAAAGAAGAAAGAAACAACTGCAATTTTGATCCTATAAAAGTTTCTGCTATTTATTATCATGAAAAATATTCAAAAAATAAAGAAGTTTTGCTACGGAAAAATATAATCATGTTTAGATAAAATTGCATTATTTTAACTAATAATTCATTATTTATGTAATTATATTTTATGATAACATGCATTAGTTTTATGTAAAGTAATAGTAAATTAGTTGTAGTTTGTACACATTTTATGTTTTTTGATGAAATGTGTCATGAGACAATAATAGTAAAAAAAATTGTATTTTTACAAAGTAATTTTTAATTTTTGTCATCATTTTAAATATTTCAATAGCATTTATATCGATATAATATATCTCTTTGTTAGAAATACTATCGATCGTATAGTAATTACGACCACTAACATAAAATAGATTACGACAACTTCCGTCGTAAGCGCTAAAACCACAGACCTTATACTAATTGACGGAGCATCGGGGGTGGGTGTGGGTGTTTGGTGCGGTCTTTCCTAGTGGACCTAGTGTATTAGCAGTGACACCAAAAACAATGTTATTTACACTAACCTACCATAATATACCATATCATTGTGTAAATCATGGTATAATGAATTCAGTTTCCATTTTAAAACTTTAAACTTTTGAAGTTTAATGTTACATGATGAAGGTACATTAGTAACATAAGTTATTTAATGGTAATGAATAACAATTGATTAATTATAATTTATTGTAATACACTAATACTATAATAAGTATAATGAATATTAATATTTCATTCTAATAAATGGTAATGTTCAATGATAGAAGGATTAAGTGGAAACAGCAAAAAATATTAGTAGTTTCGTTATTAACCAGTTAAAGGTAAAAAAAAAATATGTATATTTGTTAATAGCTGCATTATAATTTATAGTCTATAATATCAATGTACTATGTAAAATCGTTGAATTGTACATTTTATACTCGACATTCAACATTGTAATTTAAATAATTAAGTAATTAAAAATTAAACAAATAATAAATAATAATACGATAGGTAATTCATTCACCTGTGTAAAATTCCGTCGCAAAAAATTAATCAATATCTACAAAAAGATTATATATACCTAATATAATTATCGAAATAAATACAATAATTGATAAAAAGTTAAATGTTAAAAATAAAATCATAGCTACATATTATTAATTTCTAAATAAAATAAGTTTTGTAAAATTACGTACGGTAAAATTAAAATCTATTGTACACTTTCATAGTTCTTGTGCGCATGTGTAGTGTACTATGACTACTATGTACTACCACGAGAGCGCCCTCACATATTGTGACCGTTCAACCGTTGAAACTACTACCACGTGGCACGTACCGTCCGTTATAATAAATTAATATATACTACATAGTACATAGTAAAAGCCAAAAGGTCTATGGCTAAAACCTAATTTGATATTAAAACGTTTCATTGAAGTTTTCTGCCTTTTTATTTAATCTCTTTTTTATGTTGCGTATTTTGATTTATTTCGGCGATAATGTTATCAAAATACCGCTCTACGCCTTCGATTACAAAAATTGATACTATATTAAAACGGATATCAGACAATTTTTCTGAAATGTAATGTGACAACATTGACAATCGGTTACTGAGTCAAGCGAGTCGCAGGTACACCAATGCATGAGAGTGAGGAGTGATCCTCATTAAGCGTGTTAACTGTGCAGGACGCCAGGACCGATCTTTGTGATTATTATTAATGTTTTTTATTGATTGTAAACAATAGTATACAATTGTTCTCGTTAAAGTATTGCACCTCAATTTTGTATTCATAAGTGTTGGTCCTTTGATCGATATACGGTCCCGACATTAAAAGTATTAATAGAAAAACATGAACATCGAGAAGATAGAAAGAGAGGTAATGACAATATTTTTATTAAAAATTTACCACACAATACCAAAAAACTTACTCACGGTGTTTTTGTATGTCATTTAGAACACTGAGGCCAAGATTAACGAGAATGACAATTGTGATGGTCCCAATTCCATGTATGTCAAGCTAATCTCAAGCGATGGACTGGAGTTCATCATCAAGCGGGAATACGCCTTGGCGTCAGGAACAATCAAAGCCATGTTGAGCGGACCCGGTCAATTTTCAGAGAAACAAACAAACATAATCCATTTTAGGGAGATACCGTAAGCAATAATGACTGTCAGACAATGTCAAAATTTTTGATATAATGATTTCCTCTTGTTTAGATCGTATGTGTTGGTTCTTGTTTGTATGTACTTCACGTACAAAGCTTATTATAAAGACTGTTCGGGTGAAGTACCAGAGTTCTTTATCAAGCCACAAGATGCTTTAGAAATAATAATGGCTGCCAACTTTTTAGAATGTTAACTGTCTTCAAAGACTGAATATTCAAACTCTTGTTAGTATAATAATAATAAGATTTTAAGTTTATACAACTACTATCAATTATGTATCTTCCTACTTTTAAAAAACAATTTTTTTTACTCGAAAATAATAATAATACAACTATGTAACAGATTAGTACTCAAGTTTAATTTTAAAACCTATTCAAAATAGTAATACTAATGATATTTTATTTTTTTTTAAAGTAAAAATTTGTTGGTTTAATAATTTTTTTACTTAATTTATTATTGATTATCTACCCATCATTATATTTTTTACATTACATAATTTTATACATTTTCATATTTTTATACAAATTTAATTTGAATATAAGATTTTACTGATAATTATGAATTGAAATATAATGTTATTGATATATTATGGTCTTATTTATACACCCAATTATGAATATAGTAAAAACTATGATATATCCTATCTATTTAAATAAGTTAATTGTACTTAATAAATGGTGACCTACCTTTAATTTTTTTTTATCTTAATTAAATAATAATTTTTATTTGAATCAAGATTTTAAAAAAGAAAAAATATTTTGTGAATATCAAGTGATAATCAAAAAATATTTAGAGAACCAAACACTTAAAAACCTATACTAGTAGTTCCCAAACTTTTACAACCACAACACCTTCAAGAAATAGTTTGTGTTTCACAGAACTACAAAATCTTTAATTCCAATTCAACTCCAATTTTTCTACAATAAGAAGAATTTAATAATATTGTTAATAATTATTGTTTATTTAAATTAGTTAAAAATATATATAATATTTTCAATCAAAATTATATAAAATAATGATACTTTTTTCAAGTTTAATAAAAAATAACTTTCTCAATAATCATATACATCTGGTGGAACCCTCGAGATTGTTCCATGGAACTTTAAGGTTCCTCGAAACACTTCGGGAAAGTGACTTATATGATTATCCAATATTTTTAATTTGTTAATTTTGTTATAATATATAATAATAATAATAATATGTGTAGTGTATGGGGTATGAGTATAATGGTAATAATTGTTTTCACAAATAATGCACAAAAAAGTATATTTTGTGACATTAAATAATTCAAATCAATCTTTTCGAAAATTATTAATATTCTTTTTTTTTTTTTTTATCCATAAACAATTTTTAAAATAGGTACAAACTTCTTGTACCTACCTAATTTGCATGATTAGTGCTGCAATAAAATAATGATTTTTAAAATAACAATTATTTTTTATTATTATAAGGTTGTTATTATCTACCAAGTATGTGAAAAAGCCTCATTATCCATACCCATAAATTTATTTATTTTACTAATACCTACTTCAATTGATTAAACCATGCTTACCAATATTAGATATTTTTACTATAATTAAATTCAAAGAAAGTAATATTACAATATTATTTGTATATACCTTATTACAGAAATGAAGATGCTTGCAAAAAATGTTTTCAACACAATACATTATTTTTGTTTTAAATGCATTAACTTAAGTTTCATCATTTTCATCATTTAATATATTTTAAATTTAATAATATATTAAATTTTGTACATTTTTTCATACCAATAGTTTTTCTGAATAAAACCTATATTGCTGTAAATTTTGTTTGAATCATTAAATTGTATTATGTGAGGTATTCAGTTTCCCACACAGAATTTTTGGTTCTTTTAATGTAAATTAATTATTGCGGTTTTAATTTATAAATAATATCATATTTCTTTATTTCTTTAACGATTTAACATAAAAATAGTTTAGAACAACTAATATAAAATATAGAAATATTGTTCATCTACCTTCTAATCATAAATTAATCTAGTTACTAACATTTTAAATTATTACATAATATTAACTTAATGATAAAACATTTAACAAAAACTATTGTAATGACTTAATTTCAAACAATAGTCAACATACAATATAATATTATTATTAAACATTTGTGAAATTTATGGTGTGATTTGATCGAATTCCCATAATTTTATTCATCTTTCTTTTTCTTGTCTTCTTCTATTTTCTTTTTTCCCCGGTCCATTCTATCACTTATCCATTTAAAAAAATAATGTTCAAACATGTGCACATCCTGGATGTAAGTAAAACACTCCACAATCATTTTCTCCTTCTTTGTAGCTTATATAAAAACTACATTTTTCATAAAGCTTATTGTTGCTGTCTCCCACTCAGTAATACTGTATGTTTTCAAGTATTTCGGTATCAACGGATCTGAACACAAATATTGTCTTATTATGAAACTATATCAACAAACCATAAATTCAATAAATATTGACTGAATTATTAGTGTTTACTGTTTTAAAAAAACTTGAGTTCAATAATTTACACCTACGTACAATTCAATCAGTTACGCATAGGATATCATCTACCTAGTCACTCATTCAAACGGGGAGGACAAGTCTCCATTCTGCACACTTCATTTAAATGAATATATCTGTGACCTATCCTATAATTTATTTGACTGCCCTGCCCTATAGGTCAAATGCCTAATTTTAATTAATGTACTTAAAACTCAATATTCCTTTTAATATCTACTCTATACTCTATATTCAATACAAAATCTACAAATGCTATTAAAATTGTAATTTTTTTTAAATTAGATGTTGGCATCATTATATAATATAATGTAATTTAAATTCTTTGTTAAAAATGTAATTGTTGAGTTATCTTAGTTAATACTAGTAGCTAAATAAAAAAAAAAAAATAATAATGGATCTTGTAAATTATGGTAAAAATTACAACAGAAAATTTATTTTCATACAGTAAATAATAAATTATAAATATAAAAATAAACAATTTGTAAAAAATAAATACATTTTTTTTTCTGTAAAAAAGGGATATTAAGTGTAATAAATACAGTGTATACATTAATGAATCAGTATTCTTTGAGTTGTTTTGATGAACCTTTATATTAAACAAACTATAATAAAGGGCGGTCGCCGGTTAGTCGTGTACTAACAAAAATTAAAAAATTAAAAAAAAGAAAAATCAAATTGATTTCTTATATATTATTTATTTGTTATTGTGAAAAGGAACTGGAAATGGTAAAAATCTAGCTATGAACTTTGAAGCTAAAGAATATAATAGCATACATTATAGAAACATCAATATAGGTAATGATAAAACTAAAATTAGTAGGTAGGTTAGTTAAGTCACTTAATAGGAACGATGGATCCTTGTATACAATAAGTATTTATATTTTGTATTATAGATTAAAGGAAGTAATTTTAAATTCATTTACAGAACAAAAGGGGAAATCACTACGTGAATTAAAAATTAGAATTCTAAAATAATGTTTGTTTAAAAGGACAGGCCACGAGGTTACTATTCGACCAAATCAACGAATTTTAACAAAAATGATAAGTTTGTTTCAACTCGGCAGTCAGCTAGTATGGTTAGCTCCACGTGGTAAAATACTGGATTATAATTTTGTAGTGAACAATTAATCAATAACCTGAAAGATGCATACTTTACAAACTTGCGTAAACCCGTTAAAGTTTGTAGTTGTGTTTCTTAGTTGTTGGGCACCAAATAACAGCTGCAAAAATATAGAATGCGTAAATGAATAAACAAAAAATTTTAATGGGAATAGACAGCTTGAAATTCATAGAGATTCTGAAGAAAAACCCTAGCAATTTCATGGCTTTACAGAAAATGCTATCCAAGTGAGCATTAAACTTAAGGCAGCGATCAATCATATATCTGCAATACATATGTGAATGGCCAAGTATAAATATTAAATAATCAGCAATATTCTTTGTTCAATTAAAAAAAAAGCTCACTTACTTAAAACAGACTAATGTCTCCTACTGTAATCATTGATTTTGTGTCAAAAGCTTTGTGCATGTGAAGTTCGAAAACTTTTCGAAAAAATATGACCATTTTCCGTTTAGTGGATTATAAATGTAGGTACAAAGATTTATAAATGTTTTCAAAGGAATTATGTTGTCATGATAATAAAAGTGTGTATTGTACATATTTATAATATTATGTAGATATACCTACTAATAGTAATCGTTGAAAACATGATGAAAATTATAATCATTTTATTATTGTCAATTAAAAAAGCATTATTTGAACTTAATTCAACTAATAATATCAATAAAGAACTTATAGCTAATGGTGAAAGATATGATCCTTCCCAATTTCCATACGTAGTGACTATACATACATCTACTAAGGACTGGAAGAATTATGCGCTTTGTACCGGCACATTGATAAAAGAATTGTATGTATTGACCGCTGCTCACTGTGTTCACGGTTCAAACACAAATTATATTAAAGTAAATATACTTATGAAGTATCCAATAATATATCCAATGTAATTAACTATATATTACATCAGCTACAAAAAACAATTTTAATTCATGGCAAATAAAATTTCAATGTAATAGGTATATCAAGGAACAGCTATAAGAAATAATGTTTTTCGAAGGGTTAAAGAGCTTTACATACACAAAGATTTTAACCCAGAATCAAATGTTGTAATAGGAGACGTTAGTCTGTTTAAAGTAAGTAAATTTTTTTTTTAATTGAACAAAGAATATTGCTGTTAATTTGTTCTTGGGCTTTACACATGTATTGTAGATATATGTTTGATCGCTGTTTTAAGTTTAATGTTCACTTGGACGACATTTTCTGTAAAGCCATGAAATTGCTAGGGTTTTTCTTCAGAATCTCTATGAATTTCAAGCTATCTATTCCTATTAAAATTTTTTGTTTTTTTATTTATGTATTCTATATTTGTGTAGCTGTAAATTGATGTCCATCAACCACGAAACATAGCTATAAAATTTAACGGGTTTAAGCAAATTTTTAAAGTGTGCGTCTACTGCATCTTTCAGGTTATCGATTGATTGTTCACCACGAAATTATAATCCAGTATTTTATCACGTGGGCCTAACCATATTAGCTGACTGCCGAGTTGAACAAACTTATCATTTTTGTTAAAATTCGTTGATTTGGTCGAATTAATATAACCTCACGGCCTGTCCTTTTAAACAAAATTATTTTAGAATTCTAGTTTTTAATTCACGTAGTGACTTCCCCCTTTTATTCTGTGAATTATTTTAAAATTACTTTCTATATTACAAAAGATAAGTATTGTAAACGAGGATCCATGTTTCTATTGAGGGGCTAAATCAGTATTATTTCATCATTATATTGATGTTTTAATAATTTATACTGTTGTATACATAAGCATCAAAGTTAATAGCTAGATTTTTATAGGTCCCGTTTCTTTTCATAATAACAAATAAATAATAAATAATATATAAGAAATCAATTTGATTTTCCTTTTCTTTTTAATTGTTAGTACATGACTAACCATCTCCCTTCCTTTATTATAGTTTATTTAATGTAAAGGTTCATCAAAACAGCTCTGTGTACTCTCTCATTAATGCTTGCATCCCTCTTTTGCAAAAAAAAAAAAAAAATGCATCAATTTTTTACAAATTGTTTATTATTATATTTATGATTGATTATTTACTGTATAATAAATAAATTTTCTGTTACAAATTATACCATAATTTAAAAGATCTGTTATTATTATTATTAATTTAAATAGCTAGAAGGCCCATTCCCGAATGTAAAGAAATATTTAGACATTGGTGGCAAGCCTGAAGAATTTGCCGATCACAAGGCCTTGACATGTACAAGTGTTGGATTTGGTAGGACAGATAATGCTGGTGGTCAGGGCGATATAGGATACATGTTAACAATCAAAGTAAGACATGGTCCAACTGATTGTAAAGGACACCAAAGGTAGATAAAAAAAAATAGTAAACACGAATAATTCAGTTAATAATTATTGAATTTATAATTTGTTGATAGAATTCAAATAAAAAACACATGGTCACAGTATTTGTGTTCAGAACCGACGACACCGAGTTACTTGAAAATGTCCTGTATGGGAGACAGTGGTGGTCCAATAATTTGCAACAACAAGCTTTATGGAATAGTTAGTTTTTATATAAACTACAAAAATGGACCAAGTGAATGTGGAGTGCCATACATGCAGGATGTGCACGTATTCGTAAATTATTATTTAAAATGGATAAACGATAGAATGGAGCCGAAAAAAAGAGAAGAAGATAAGAAAAATGAGGAAGATAAGAAAAAGGAAGAAGATAAGAAAAAGGAAGAAGACAAAAAAAAAGAAGAAGACAAGAAAAAGGAAGATGAGGAAAACAAGGAAGATAAAAAAAAGAAAAAAAAGAAAAAGAAAAAAAAGAAAGGAAAAAAGACGAATTATGGGAATTTGATTAAACCACATCATATATTCCACAAATTTTTAATAATATTATTATATTGTGTGTTGATTATTATTTGAAATTAACAGTAATTACAATAGTTTTTGTTAAATTTTTCACCATTAGGTTAAGATTACATAATAATTTAAAATTTCAGTTATTAGATTAATTTATTATCAAGAAGTTTATTCCAGGACCGTAGATGAATAATTTTTTTGGAGTTAAATTTAAGAGTGGGACTCTTTAATGTCTTTAAGCGATTATTACCGTCATACATTCTGATGTTCATTATCAAATATTGTTATAATAACTAATATTTACAATTGGGTTTTGTTCAAAATAAAACCGATAACCGAGTATCTGAATAAAATAATGATGAAAACAATTTTAAATTCAGAGACATTTTTATGCAAAAGTTTGTCTACTAGAGTACTAGGTACTTAAGTAATATAAAAAAGAGTCTGTGTGCAATTTATAATATATGTACCTTTTTATCTTTTTTTAATCATATATGATTCATTATCTATATATATTTATACATTCCGTTCAAATTCTAGTTTAATACCTTCTTGTGTACATTGTACATATATGTATACAATATTATATAATATTATAAATTAACTTACCATGTATTAGACGAACAAAGGAAGAAAAAGTAGGTTTAATAGTTATTGATTTCTTTTTAATTTAACATTAATTAAGAATACAATTAATTATATTAAATATATATTACATAACTCATTACTTATGAATATAAGTAAATCAGGGAGAGTTCTGGAGATTGGGTCGATGGTTGACGAATGTCATCTGAGTTTAACAGTGTGTTTAGATAAAGGCATAAAAATATGTCACATATGACTAATATATATATCTGTGTAACTGTACCTATAATACACTGTTTATAATAAGATATATTATAATAGTAAAGATTGTGATGATGGCACTCTAATGAGCCATTCACACAGAGAGTGGCTATCATTACAGTATACAATAGATATTTGAAAATCTTAAATTATTTGATTTAATATTTATTTTTATGTTCAATTGAAAAAAAATAAATACATATGTTATTATTTATAAATTAGAACTACAACTACTGTTTTATATTTACAAAGTCAAAAATTGTGTGTGGGAACCTGAGTATCTCGCATAATACTCGTATAACCACCACCATTATTATACAAATTGATATGTGGACTGCATTGTATAAGTTTTACTATTGGTTCGAAAAAAATCGATACCCGATAAATTGATAGGTACTCAGTAATACCAAATACCAATTTTGATTTTCGGGTATTAATATCGGCCCAGCTTTAAAGTTAAATAAAATAACACCACTACACAAATTAAACGTGTTAAAACATTCAAATTATATTTTTCTAATCACATAAGAGTCTCTGAATCTAAATTTGAAAAAAAATTTGTTTAACCGTTTTAGAAGTATAAGTTGTGTCTTTAAGAATACTTTATCAAAATTCTTCTATATTTATAAGTATATATTTAGTATAAGATGCATTTACAAGATCAAGATGAAATATGGAATAGGTTCTACGTAATATAATTTAAAACACTAATTAATTTTTATTTTTATAATCTTTATTTTATTTTCAAAAATTATAAATATTTAGGCAACTTTTATTAAAATGTAAATTATTTTATAATTACATAATATTGTATACCACATATATTTTTAAATAACTAAAAAATAAAATAAACCATAATTTACATATTTTAATAATAACTATCAACAGTCTTTGTAATAATATGTTACAAACAATAGTCCTTTAAATTTGTTCCCAATATTTTATCAAATTTTTGAAAACAATATAAATTGGACTTTTCCATGGTTATATCAAACGTTTTATCGAAAATAATTAAAAAAATATATTCCAAAGAAGATTTCACAGGACTATTAGTTGTATAAGATTGTATTATTGACATATCAACACTAAAATGTTTACTAGAGAAATTTTTTAATTTGAAATCAAAATGCTTTAAATGTACTTTCTTTTTTATTTGAGTTATTTGGAAGAAGACATATATTATGATTAGTTAGTTGATTTGTAGGTGTTGGTTGAGTAGAAACCTATAAATTTGTATATCAACATTCGATGCGATCATTAATAATATTAATATTAATTGTTGTCTAGTGTCTACATAACATAATATACGGTGCCAAGACAACTAAAGTCGAATTTTTGTTGAATAGTTGAAGTTTATACTATGTAGTAATATGGCAATATTGTATATTTAGTGTTATACCAGTATACTTGTGTCTTACTTCTTGCATTATCGTTATAGTATTACATAAATAAAATAAATATAAAGTTATATAAATTGCTGAAATGTGTGTTTTTATTTTTGAGGATATTATTATTAGCCACTGTTAATATTAATATTGATCAATATTAAAAAAACACAAAATTAAAATAATATACATCTATAGCCAATTTAACTAGAATAAAATATAAATAATATACCTAGTTTAGAAAATTGTACTTATGTACAATTATTGTAGATCTCTCTCTTTCGGCACAAATTTCTATAGCTTTTAAAAGAGGGAAATAATTAGGTACTTTTTTTTACATGTTATGTTTACTTTATAGGTACTTAGGTTTATTATGTTGTTTTACTGAAACAATAAAGTTAATTACCTACTTGATCATAATAATTAGGTATTTTTTAATTTTTTATTAAACAAACTATCCGTGGCGTCTGTAACCATTAGATGTAACAGTACATTATATATATATATATTTACACATTACATGAATTTATAAATTATGATTTACAAGATATCATAATTAGGGGTAAGTATAATGATAATTAAAATTTAAAAGAGAGATATAAAAATAAAGAGGTCAAGACGTTAAGTATTAGGTATTGTGTAGAATTTACAGTTTATTTATTAGATGTGTTTTTAAAAGGAATTGTATGATTCTGAATATGTTGTTGAGGTTCAAGTTGAGTATTTCAGCAAGGTGGTTGGAGATGAGGAATAGCCTTCTTTCCTTGTCTTACATTCTGTATTCAGTTAAAATATGTTTAACAGTGAGAGATACTCTACAACATGAGCATATTGGGGGTCTTCTTTCTTCATTAAATAGAAGTGTGTGAGGTGGGTGTGACCAATTCTGAGACGGTTTATAGAGGTCTCGTGTTTTCTTGTGATATTAACAGAAAATAGAAACGGTTGGACAGATTTATTAATTTTATTGAGTTTGGTGGACATTTCATTCCACTTCTTTTGACACCGAAGTAATGTATCTTCTTCGATGACCCTCTTTACATCGTTATAGGTGAAAGTGTTTGGGGATGAGTGAGCAAGTTTGGCGGTCGTGTCTACTTGTTCTTTGCCGTCTATGATGCAATGACTATGGATCCAAGAGTATGTAATCTTTTTTTTTTGTTGCGCTATGAAATTAATGTTCTAGATTTTTCTGAAGATGTTAGAGAGGTTTATTGATTTTGAAGATTGGTAAGAGTAGAGATAGAGTCACTAAATATTGTGATTTAGGTACCTAACGTGCTTAGCTTAGAAAATAATAAGCAAATGAAAATTTAAAAAACATATAAACAAATAAATAAATTATTACATTTTCCACAGACTAGCTTTTCCTTCATTTAATTTTATCCATGAAACTTTGGCTACAACACGTTTGGGCATTTTATCCCAAATTGGGACACGTTTGGGCACAAAATCACAACATGTTTGGACACTATTTTATTCTGATATTACAACACGTTTGGGCACTATAGTTTTTAGGTAATCTATAAAGCACGTAGTAAGTATATAACATGTAAATAGATGTATAAAACATAAATATATACTGTGTAATTGTATATACCTTTAATCGAGCACGACGGTAGTGGCCCGTTTCACATAGACGCGTATGTACACGACGTATCATACACGCGCGTTTTTAGTTTACATTGATTAAGTTCATACGCGCCACTCCGAGGGTCGCGCGTTCTGCTCGCCGATATGGCGCGTATGAACTTATTCAATGTAAACTAAAAAGTAAAAACGTCATATTTTTTATCAATTATATGCAATCCACATATTACAAAACAATTATTATCTGCCTTAAATTTATTGTTTTTTAAATTCGAAATCAACTGATAAATATAAGGAAATGTGGACATTAATTAAAGAACTTTGTAATAAATTAATTAACAAAGAAATACAAATTAATAAAATAGATTTGGATTTTGAAAAAAGTGCACATATTGCAATCGATAAATCGTTTCCAAGTGTACAAATTATTGCGTGCCAATTTCATTTGGGTCAAAGCTGGTATCGTAAAATCTAATCAAATAATTATTTACTTAATCAGTATAAAAATAATACAGAAATAGGGTTATGGCTAAAATATTTTTTTGGTCTAGAATTCTTACCACCTGAACAAGTTGATGATGATTGATGGTTTTGATGAGCTCATTTCTATAACTCCTACAGATAACCACATGTTTACTGATTATATTTTTGAAAATTATATTAATAAAGAGTCTCAATTTCCACCAAATATTTGGGCAGAAGCTCCCATAAATAATACTAGGACAACCAACGGACCCGAAGCTTTCCATAAACATTTCAATGCACAATTTTACCATCCGCATCCAAACATACACCATGTAGTAGACGTTCTAACTAACATTCAGGCAGAAACTGCATTAAAAATAAATAGTATAAAAAAAAATCAAATCAATTACACCAGAAAAGAGGCTGAATTTAAAAGAAAATTTTTGATTGATAATTGGAATGCTTATGACAAAGGAGACATGACACTAATTGCATATTTAAAAATTATGGGAATTCGTTATCAAGGAAATAAAGTATAAATATTATAATTACCATATATATTACTTTTTTTTTCTATAAAAAAATACTAAAAGATGTTACCTTCATTATTTTGATATATATGAATATATAATATATTATACATGTATGTACATATTTCATATACTTCTTAAACAAAAGTATATACAATTTACATTTTAGTATCCAAACGTGGTATCGTTTTAGGGATATAGAGTGTCCAAACGTTGTGTGGATTTTGAAAACTAAACAGGTAAAAATACCCAAACGTGCTGCACCGGAAATTTTTTGAGATCTGTTATCATCTTATCAGTTACATATAAATAATAATAATACGTTTTCCCACAATGTTTTTAAATAACTCTATAGTCAGTATACTTACGTTGTACAATATATATTAATGTCTAATTATAGTGTTTTACTATCGTATATTATACTAAAAAATACTAGGTTACAGTCCGTAAGTGCGAAAAAATACCTTTTTAATGAATCATAAGCGCAAATAAATTTTACAAAAATAAAGTGTATTTTATAAGTTAGATATAAGTTTATACTGTATATATTGAGTAGTTATATTAAATAATTATCAACCTATTCAACCTCCACCGCAACTTGTTACGATAAAATACGATATCTACGATAATATGAAACTTTAATTGAACTCTATCGTTGTTGATGTATTTTTAAATTATAAAAATACTATAAATTTAATTAAAATGAATAATTATATTTAATAATTAATAATTTTAAACTTATAGTGTAACGAGTACAGTATTTATTTTTGCGCTTTTATTCAACTACAAAGGTACAATCGCACAAAATTAATTTGTGTTTTTGATCGATCGAAAAAACTCAACGATTTGCGCTTTTGAGTTTCACCAAAATACTATGAATACTTTAAATATTAACTGTTTTGATTATAAAAACCATCAGATCGACAAGGTTTGTTCAACATTTTATTTATTAATTAAAAATCATTTATTAAATTGGTTTACAAAATAAATGCATTTCCATACGCGTATAACCACGTTTCATGTGTTATTCTATATAAGTATAGTAAGTATACGCACTTACAGAAAAACAGAGAAGTAGGTATGCGCCATATACCTGCGTATACGCTCCACTACACCACTGATTATAGCTATTATATTCGTAAATAAAATATTGTATATTTATGTATAATATATCGTAAATACGAGTGATTAGTAGGTAGGTACATATTCATACTAAATATGTATTACCTTAGGCAGGTATATTAATCACTGTGTCAAAACCTTGTGTCGTTCAGAACGATTTTTTTAAACGTTGTTAGTTCTAATATTGTTGTGGGTAACCCCGAACCCGAATTCTTTTCACGTTAGGCGTCTGTAGCGTCGCTTGTTGTTTATGTTAATTATTATTATTGTTAACCTATTCAAATTTCAAACAATATAACATTGCTTATGATGTGAATTGTATATGCCCGAAATTTACAACGATGGGCAAAATCGTGTCTGTATTGGCAACGACTGCCTGGTTGATTATCTTCTAAAAGCCTAAAACAGTAATTTAGTACGCATAGTAACTATAAATGTATTGTATTTTTTTAATAATCAAGGTAGTATGACACTAGTAAGTATTGAGTAAATCATTATAATATTGTACAATATATATCGTGCATATATTGTGCGTAGTGCTTGTTTCTACATAACTTTTTTTACAAAATTACCTTTCGAAAAAAAATATATTATATTGTTCTTTAATTTATAGGAAGCTAAAAATATTTTTATTTATCAACTTGTAATTATTTAAAGTGTTTTAAAATTATTTTTAGTATGTAGGTTAAAATATTCTTATCGACGTGTAAATAGATAAAATTACACAGAGATTTATAATACTGTAGACAAGTATCAAATAAATTTTAATTTAGGCAGGTCTTATACTGAAGAATGAAGATAAAATGTAATGTTTGTTGTCGCATTGCTATTAGATACAATCCTATAATTAGTCATTTTATACGCATTGCTTATATTTTTGCTGTTATTTTAAATTACAACTAAACGTTCGTATATTAGTAAGTTTTAATGTGTGACAATAAACATGGCAAAATATCCAATTTAAAAAATAAAAAGAGATTAAATAAAATATAAAAATTGTCTTAAATTACCTATACATTTTCATAGATAGAATATTTTTCTATATCTACTTTAATTACAATTAAAAGCTTTTTTTATAAATTTGTATCAAATTACAATTGTTTTGAATAATATATTTATATAGTTATAGTTTATTCGATAATATATACCAATATAGAACGTAATATTTTGTATGTATATGAAATGTTGACTATTACGGTATATCAGTTATATGTAGTCATACACAAAAAATTAATATAACCCACATAGTTATATTTTAATTCAATAATTTACAATCGACTACCATAAGAAATTAAATAGAAAGTTCATTTAAAATTTTTAAAAAAGTTAAATTTTGGCTACTAAAAAAACAAAACATATTAGTTTATATAATAGGCTAATTAAGATCACTACTGAATAACTATAACAAATTATGATTTTAGTAATTGTTAATAGATGAATTGCTTTGTATTATATTCTTTTAATGCGTGAATTTATACGCGACGTTACATTATACATCATGAATAATAAATATGCATTTAATTATACAATAAAACAATTATTGTAATCATAATTTTATTAATTGTACTAACTTTTTATTGAATTTATATTTTAAAATGTGAACACTTATGGACCCCGTACGAATATGTTTAGTGGGCCCCTTATATTTTTAAAAGATTTAAATAAATAATAATAATAATAAAAAAAAAATACAAGTTCATTATTTATTAGTGAAATACATAAGAGAATTTAAAATTAATTAGTCATTACATTTTTTTGAACCTAATCCGTGAGGTCCGGGTCGCCCCACTTATCTAAATGTAGCCCGTGTTTATACACTATGGTCATATTACAATGGTATTATAATACTGTACTATATACTGTTATTATTTATAGTTACAATACAATATACCTATATCAAAATATTACACGTAAAACTGTTCTAAAATAATGTAAAAAATTACGATCATAAACTATAATATTCGGGTCGAACGTGTTTCCCCGAGGCTTTCGGATACCTATGTACGTATATATAATATTGTTATCGCAAACACAGTCAGTTGTGTGTTGATTCGGTTATTTGGAATAACATTTATATAATTTACTATAAATATATTATACAGTTTACTCTCTTTAACTTAACCGTTCCGGTTACCAGGAAAACGATGACTTTCATTGGTGATGGTTACGCGAGTATGACGATCCTCGATCAGTAAGCGTGTAGTGTTAATGCGTGGTACCTATTTGTCATATATCGGACATTGGAACTTAATAGTTTTGTTTTTTTAGTTTCAAGCATTTTTTACAGGTCATTTGTAACCTATAAGTTTTTTTTGAACATTCCATTCTGTTTGTTTTCTCCACAAGTCATATAAATTAGGAATTTAAACTCGATTTTTTGAAAGTAACATTGAATATATGTACTTAATTCTAAAGTAGGCGAGTGCTTATATTATGTAAAATTTAACCTTAGTCACTCGGGAGAATTGAAAATTCCAAAAAAAATACAAAATTGTAATGTTTCAAATGTGAATACATGTAGCGATAATGGATGATATTAGAAATGAAAATAACACATTCTAAATATTAATATGGCACTTTTATAATTTAACACACACCATAAGGTCATAAGGTGACACAATAAATTGATTAAAATATAAATATTTAAGTCACCATACAAATAATATTATAACAGGACGTGTAAATAAAAAATGCTAAAAAATGCATCGTAATGACAGTACTGATGTTTTTTCGCAGTGAATAATATTTAAATTTGTATTTATTATTGCACGTGTTGGGTGTCGGTTGAGCAAGTCTACAGATTTAATACACTTCGAATTGTACGACCCACGTTATTTATTTACATGTATAATACTACATAATTATGGTATACGTATTGCAGATCCCGTAAAAGGTTTGTCTCCACACTCGCCACTATATCTTAATTTTTATCCAACAGAAATGTCTGGTTGTTACTCCCAAACGCATGAACGATGTCTTTGGTCGTGATTCACAATAATCCTCTTGGCCACGGGCGATACACACACCATTATAATATATTGGGTTATACGATATTAATATGTAATACGTTCAAAATATATTGTATATTATAATACTGGACTCGATATGGCATCTGTACACACCCGAATAGTGTAGTAATTGGATAAAAACCAATGGGGGGGGGGGGGGGTCAAAATAATTTATTCACAAAAATCGAAATTTTAACCTAATCATTTGTTTTTAAACTTATATCATTAAGTAATGTTTTGTTAATTGTACAGGGGTATAGGGGCTAAGATGGCATAATTTGTTTGAAAAAAATGTGACGATAATCTTGTAATCATAATAATTCATGGATTTATATTAATGAATTATTTTTGTAATCCAAATGGTGTGATAACGTTAAAAAAAGAGTTATTATATAGGTAACACAATATATTATACAATAAACAAATGTACCTAAAATAAAATGTACTTTATGCAAAAAATATTTTTATCTTATGAATGTATAATGTACGTATTATATCGTATATGTATTGCATTTTTCTTTATTTTAGGGGCGAATTTCCATTTGCCCCTCACAATTATACCACTTAACTCTCTGAACCCGTCAGGAGACAAGTGCAGTCCTACTTATAAATGTATAACGAGCGTAAATTTATAATATGTTTTAGATACATGGTTGCCGGAGGTCAGTGACTTTGAGAACCGCGGCCAAGAGACAAGACCACCATCGTGGTATATTATTGTAAAAAAACGCGTAGTATCTTGCATTCGGGGGGCGGCGCGCGACGATCGTGGGAGGCGAGAACCACCGCCGACGCGGTTGTCTTCTTCCTGTTGCTTTCGCGACGTGCTCGCGACAACTCGCTGCAGCGTCCCGACAACTGTCGCTGTGACTCGCGTTTCACATAATAATAATTATTATAATATTTTTCAAAAAACACAAAAAAAATCAATATGGCAACGATGAGTGTGACTATCGCTGTCGCTGTCGCTGTTTTCTTGTATACGGCAGTCGTCGGAACGGGAAACACGATTGAGGTGAGTATTCGACGATTTGTTTACTGCAATAATAAATATTTAAAATATTATATAGGTAATATTACTTTACGAACAGCGTTATGACTGTAGGGCCAACAATTATATGCATTTGCATATTTTTATTGGTTAGTCCAAAAAATAGTTAGTTTATACTAAAATTGGTTTCATAACCTAACGATGCTAGATACAAAATTTTATTTAGCATATTTTTGCATATTTTGGCAATTTTGCATTTTAAGAGCAATTTTTAGTATTTTGTTTATTTTTGCAGCATATTAGGATCTTAAAGATTCAGGAATCATAAAATATTAATTTGTTTCACTCATATAATATAATTATATATACTTTATTACGACCTATGGGTAATTCAACTCATTTATAAAAATCTAATCTTAATCACTAATCATTAGGGTCAAAAAATATATGCCCGTATGCCATTATATTTTATCTTACCTATCGGCATCGTAGTCGTCGGTCGTGGTTTTACACGTGCGGTGCGTTATTAAATCGATCATTTTAAAATGCTGAAAGTGAAAATTTCTAACACTAATCGTGTCAATAGTTACACCTCTGAATTTGGAGAAAAAATATTTTCTTCGGATGGGAATACGTAATATTGTTTTGTAAAATATACGAGGTGAAGATTACGTCATGTGAAAAACGATTTATAATACCACACTTTTTTGTTAATCATTGACAATAATTATATTATAGAATACTGAATAATATAATAATAAATAAAAAAAAATAAATCATTTAATTAAAAATATAAAATAACATTTTTTTTTTTAGAGCATCTTTTAAGGGCATATTTTGGTAATTTTTAAGGCATAACTGCATGCATATTTTATAGATTTTTAGGGCATATAATTGTTGGCCCTAGTTATGAGGTATAAATCATAAATCCTTAAAAATAGTGACCTCGTTAATAAGTGTATAATGGATGAATAATTTTAATTACCTACTATTGTCTTGTTACTACCCAACACTAGAATATTGGAATATTAGCAGTCGAGGTAAACGATTTTTTTTTGCCGTCCATTCGAAATTGTTGTTGGTTTGTTAACCCAAAAGATGTAGTTTATTATTCTTCAGTTATGTCACATTAAATAAATTCTGATTGCACAATCAGTATAATAGACTGATTATAATCATTTGTTTTTTTTTATTTTTCTACACTAAGATTTCTATTCCTCATCGATTGAATGTATTATACATACTTATACATATAAACTATAAAAAAATTTAACACCTACATGAAAAAGTGATCTTAAAAATGACTAAGTAAAACCAATTGACCATGTATCACTGTTGACTTTTTTTTTTTTTTGGTTCCAATAAAAACAACGATTTAGTTGTTTGTACTATTTTATTCGTTAATTATAAGTTATAGATAAAATATCATTGTTGCATAGGATTTTATTAATTGAAATAATTGAATATCAAATAAGTGTTGTATATAGGATTAAAAATATAATATTTTACTGAGTAAAAAATGAATACAAACTTTTTCAGTAAATTTTTCTTAACTACAAATAAATATGATAATGAAAAGTAAAAATTATTTTTTAAAATCATTTAAATACAATTTTGATGTTTGAAATATATCACTGTAAATATAATATATTTTAATATTTTATTAATACTATTATTGTTTGTGTTGATCATCTGTTTGATAAAATATATTTATATTCAGGATTTATTATTTGAATTAAGTAATAATATTATAATTTATAATTACCTATACATAACGTATTTAAGTATTTACTTTGTGATAAAATTTATATTAAACAGTTGGTAATATAATCTTTCAATAAGGTATTATCATTATGATTATTATGCGTAAATATAGTTAAGCTATGAAGAAAAATCAATCTAATCAGATATATTTATTGTTACATTCACTACTTTTTGTTGTATAACGTATTTATTATATAAATATTAAATATTATGTGTATTTATACTCATACAATAAGGACATGAGACCTAATATGTATGGAAGTGTTTCGAGAGTACATATATACGTTGGTTAAATCAATAAAAAACTTGAATTGAATTTAAAAGAAATAACACATTTCATGGCCGTATATATAATAGGGATTGTTATTTAACATTTAAAAAAATGTAGGTACATATATATTACATATTGTATTGTTCCAATTGCGCTATAAAATGATCAGTATTATTTTGCAAGAAAGTTTTAAGAAAAAATGTACAATTGTGGATGATTATGTGAAAATCAATTGATTTTAGAGCAAACAAATAAAATCGCGAAACTTCGAATCTATTGTTAGTTCTTGTACTAAGTTGTACATTGTGTATGTTAAAATTATCAAGAACAATAAAGTATTTTGAATTCTTAAAAATTCGGTGAAACGTAATGACTTGTTTTATATTGAAATTATTTACGATACTTACTTTTATTTCAATACTAATATTATAAATATATAACATTCAATAAATAGAATAATGTGTAATAAATATTAACAATGCATATATATTATGTGTATTATATAATATTACAATAATGTAAAATTATGTTCTTTAGTAATTTATATACACTCAATGTCTCAATTTGGAAATGTTGTTTTATTTACCTACTGATTTTTTCTAAATTTAATTTGAGTTCAAAAATTTATAGTGTTGTATATCCGCAGAGGGTTTATAATAGTAACCATAATCTCATAAAATATATTTATTACGTTATACCTACTAATATATAATTTTATTTTAAATGTATCTTTCTATTATGGATGTCATTGTATAATAAATAATTGCGTATTCATTTTTCAAAGTAAATCATTTATATTTAAATACGTTTTTATTTACTTTTAAGTTTAAAATTAATTACATTTTTAATATTTATTTGTAAAATAGATTTCACAGAAAATTTACCTATTTATAATGTGAGAAAACATTTTGATTGGTAGTTTTACATAAAATGATATAAATATATAATTTTGAGAAAACTTATCATAATGACATTTTTTTTAAATAACAGCTTTTTTAAATGAGTTATCATATAATCTATGGCTAAGGTGTATAATCTTAATATTATAACAACTTTTAAGTAAAATATAAAAAAAAAAAATGTATTTCCATAATGATTTTGGCTTAGCTAAAAAGAACACAAATTAATTTTGATAAAATATTTATTTTTGTGAAAAAACAAACCTTTTTTCAGGTAATTATGTTCAATTAAGAATCCAAAGGTTTTGTTAAACAATTATTATAATGTAAATTTTGTGTTGTATGTATTGTTGGTAATCTATGTTGGAGTACTGCGTATTTTTGTGCTAGCTACAATCGTCGGTATAAATATAAGATAACATTTTCCACGATCTTAGAACATTGTAACTGGTTAAAAAACACTGTGTTAATCTAACCTTCTGTTCTCCCACTAAGAATAATTTCAATAACAATGAGTAGTGAGTACCTAATACTAATCAATAAATTACAACGTAAACAACTTCTGTCTTTCATAGAGCTTTCATAGTTAATTCTTACCTACTTAATTTTATACAAAAATGGTGTTTAAATTTAAGCTCACGTTTATATTTTTGTATTAATGAATTATTCATTCAGCTAAAACAGTTTTACTTAAAAGAAAAAAATGTGTTTATTACATATTTATTTTAAAGTAGTATATAATACGAGTATATATTGCCATATGGCCATACCACCATTATTGTGTCCTAAATTCTAGAAGAATAAGATTTTAAATTATTAAATTTATAAAAAAAATTTTAATAAAAGAAAAGATATATATTATGTAAAAATGATTATAAAAACTTACAATGACTTAAACACGCGATTTAAAATTTAAAACTTTAAATTTAATAATTTTACGTTTAATCAGTATTGTAAGAAAAAATGTATTAAATTTTTAATTTTAGTATTTTATTACAACTTAATTGAATTATTTAATATTTTACTGTTAAATTTATACATTTAAAATATAAATAAAAATTTTATTTTTTATTTAATAGTTTCATCTATGAATTATGATAAATATAAAAGTGTATATAACCTTTTTTTAAATTTTTTTGTAGACTAGTAAACCAACTTTTACTATTGATTATGAGAGAAATGAGTTCTTAAAAGACGGCCAAGTATTTCGATATGTCTCCGGTTCGTTACATTATTTCAGAGTTCCTAAACCTTATTGGAAGGATAGAATTCAAAAAATGAAAGCAGCTGGTCTAAATGCCATATCAACGTAAGTAAATATTATAATAAACTATATAAAATTAAACTAAAAGTACGAATAGTAAAAACAGTTAGATCTTAGATACTTATAATAGTTATGAAACGAATTGTTAAGATTTACTTTACTACCTATATAAGTTTATTGCTATTTAAAACTTAACACACTTCAAAATAGATTTTATTGAAAATATAAAAAGAATTATGTTAAGTCCAATATTTTTAAATAGTATAAGTTTTTATTATTTGCTATTTTTATTTATTCGTGTTAAGTAAAATAATTATAGTTAATAGAACTTTGCACAATGTCCATGTGATATATTATATAAGATTATGAATAGTCTAATAATATAAAATTCATTGTATTAAGCTGATTTTTGTATGCGAAAATTAACAATATAAATTTTAAGTTAATTGGATACTTAGAAATCTTTAAATGTTTAATATGTAGGTATCTAATGCTTTTATAATAATATATGTACTTTATTATGCCGAAATAATTTTTAAGCGAATATTTAAATTTAATAACAATAAAATATGGTATTGTAGTTATGTAGAATGGAGTTTACATGAACCGTATCCAGGCGTATATAACTTTGATGATATAGCTGATTTGGAGTATTTCTTGCAATTAGTTAAAGACGAGGGTATGTATTTGTTGCTCAGGCCAGGACCATATATTTGTGCCGAAAGAGATTTTGTGAGTAACTGCAACATGTAAAAACGAATTAGTGACCGAATTTAAATTATTGTTTAACTTATTTTAGGGCGGATTTCCATTTTGGTTATTGAATGAGGTGCCCAAAAAACGTTTGAGAACTAATGATTCAAGTACGTATTAGAGGTTATTATATATTTAAAATCCAAAAATAAATCAATGTCTTTTATGAAAATATTAACTTTAAAAAACAGCAGTAATATAACTTTTTTTATTCGATATTAGGTTATAAACATTACGTCACTAAATGGTTTAGTGTACTCATGCCCAAAATTGACCGCTTTTTGTATGGAAATGGTGGAAATATAATTATGGTTCAGGTATAGTCAACTAATAAATTTATCATCACATTCCAAATATTTTGAAAATACATTTTATTTTTCTGTATAGGTTGAGAACGAATATGGTAGCTACAACGCCTGCGATCAAGAGTATATGTTGTGGTTACGAGATTTGTTTAAAAGTTACGTTGGATATAAAGCTTTATTATACACAACCGATGGATGTGGATATTCTTATTTTACATGCGGTGCTATTCCTGACGTTTACGCTACTGTGGATTTCGGTTCTTCTACCAATGATGGTAAGTATTTACCAGTGGCGTAGCAAGTAACTTGATGACTCCAGGACCTATAAAAAATGGAGGCTAAACAATAATTATTAAAATATAGTAATGCTAAGAGCAAATAATAATTATATAATATTATGTATTATGTACTTAATATTTTATTATTTAAATATTTATGAAATAATGACAATAATACATTGTAATATAATCAAAATATTCATAAATATTAAAAATTTGATTAGTCGAAAACTTGGATGGAACAGATTTTGCATATTAGTAAAAAAAAGTAAAAAGAAAAATATTAGCTTTTAAGCTATAATAATTAAATAAATTCACTTTATCGGTACTCTTGACTTCGTTAAGAACGATAAACATTTAATCATTTAAACGACTGCGCTCAAAATATTATCAGTTGAGGAGCGTACATATTTTGCAACAACGACTTAAAAGTTGACTTATTATTCTATTTATTTCACTAGATGCTTACGTTTATGTTTGCGGCAACCAACTTATATATAAATATATAATATATAAAAACATTTGTTTAAAAAAAAAAATTAAAAAAAATGTCAAGTTGAAATAAAATCCCTCAAAGGAAGTATAGATATATCGAATACAGAGCCTCAAGTTTCTACTGGCGGAAAGTTCTTGATGGACGATTCTAGTAGGTAATACGACAAAGGGAATGTAGCGCACTCACCGCCTCGCACATTTAAAAGTGTGCAGAAATAGCTTCCAGTTTGATTTTAAAGATCGGTCTAATCTCTCCGTTTTGGGATTAAGTTTTGAGCAAACAACCATATTATATAAAAAAACTTTTATTTAGGAATCAAACAGAAATAAGCCTCGGACATATAAATTCAATAGAAAAACAAACGGATACAGGAAACCAAATTTATTCTTTGAAACATGGAATGTATAGACAATGTTTCAACTAAGAACAACTTTAAGTGTAGTTAAGGAAGTTGAAAAATGTTAAATTAGGATAGTGGAACTATAGGAAGTCAAATAGAGTGACGAAGGAACTATAAACATACACGATACCACTATTCTATATACTAAGTGAAATAAAAGACAACAGTTTAGAGTAAAATTCACAATACACAAAAACCAAATTATACAGGAGTTCAAAATAATAAACCATTGAGTAGCTATTCTTATAGTAAAAGCCAAGTTTAAAAGTACACAAAAGCAATTTGGAAAATTTATTCAAGTCAAGGACTTTCTCAAAGAAGCTAAAAGTTCAGCTATATATTACGCAAATAAGATCTATAGTATTATTTGCAGCATAATATTTGACCACAAAGAAAAATGTGCAGTTAAGACTGAGAATATTTGGAAGAAAAAATTAAGATAGATGTATGGACTTTGCCGTAACTAACAAATGGAAAAATGGTTTATAAAACACTATGCTGAGTAACTGAGTTATGTTACCTTTATAACAGACCAGATATAATAAATAAGATAAAAAAAAAAGATTGGAATGGACAGGTTACGTGTAGAAGAAATCTGAAGTCTTGATAAAGACAGTTCAGTTCTACAAGAAAATCTAAGAGGGTAAAAACTTTTGGATCCTACTCAAATGCGTTGCGAGGATTGTGTCAAGAGAGATGTAGTAGATTTCTACTCGGATGAAAATTGGTTGGGGACAATTAGGTTTGGATGTGTAGTCTAAAAGGCCGTAAATAAAAAAAAAGTTGAAATAAAATATAATTTAAATATATTTAATGCAAAGGTTATTGTAAAGATAAATATATCTATGCAGTAAAAATGTATTTTTGATAATAGTACTAACAAAATATAAAGCAATTCGATTTCATATTTTAGAATAACAATTATTTTGTTTGAACTATTATAGAAAGAAAATGTATATACCTTATAGGCCCCTGTAGCTCTTGCCTAAATACGCCACTAGTATACACTATAACATATATACGTATGGAAATTAATATTACATTTTTCGAAACTTTGATTTTATTTTGGTTTTTAGTTTTCCAATGCTTTAAATATATGAGAGCTACACAAAAGAGAGGTCCACTAGTCAACTCCGAATATTATGTTGGATGGTTATCACATTGGCGTAAACCATCACCAATCATCAATAGTAACGAAGTTGTGGAAACTATGAAAAAAATGCTAGCATTTAATGCATCGATAAATTTCTATATGTTCCACGGAGGTACAAACTTTGGGTTCACTTCTGGCGCCAATAAATACGAGAAGTTAGAAAATTCAGAATATTTGCCACAATTAACCTCATATGATTACAATTCTCCGCTAAACGAAGCTGGAGATCCAACTGAAAAGTACTTTAAAATTAAGAAATTGCTCGAAGAAACTGTAAGTCTTGATGATATAAATAAAAACAGTAAATATATATATATTTATATTTTATATTCACTTTAATAATTTAATTTTTGTTTAAGAATTTCTCGGTATCAAATGAAATATCACCCGTACCAGCACCTAAAGGTGATTATGGAACATTCAAAATGCAGCCGTTAGTTAGTCTTTTTGAAAAGGTCTCACAGCGGATTAAACCGGTTGAAAACGATGTTCCTCTTGGGTTCGAAGTTATGGGCATAAATACGGGGTTTGTAATGTATGAAACTATTTTGACAGACGAACAAAAAGACGTCACAGTTCCTGTAAACCTTACTATTAGCACAATTAGAGACCAAGCAACTATATTCTTGGACCAGGTATGCGTTATAATACCATAAAATATACGATCTTAAAGTAAAGAAAAAAAAGATATTAAACTTTTTTATTTAGGTACAAGTAAATATAATACCTCGTAAGTATGAAAATACACCAGTGAGCTTAAATATAAATAATACTGTTCAAAAGATTAGTATTCTAATTGAAAATCAAGGAAGGATCAATTACGGAAGCTTTATGGAAGATAGAAAGGTTGGTCAGGTTACGTTGTAGTTTGTCGGTTTGTAATTATTATTGAAATTATACTTTTTACAGGGTATTTTTGAACCAGTCACACTGGGTAATTATGTACTAGGACCGTGGAAGATGATAGCATACCCTTTAAATGAAACATCTTGGCTTTCGACGATTGAACCACAAAAATACGCTGTACTACCAGCATTTTATAAAACACAATTTACATTACCTGATAGCTTAACAAAACCTTTGGACACTTATTTAGATGTTTCTGGTTGGAAAAAGGTTCGTTTTCTAAAAATAATAAAATATATCTGATCAAAATTAATTTGATATAATATTCATTGCTTAATTAATTTTGTTTTTTTTTGTCATTTAAAGGGCGTTGCTTTTGTGAATGGAATAAACATAGGACGATATTGGCCATCGGCTGGACCACAAATAACTCTTTATGTTCCAGCTACATTTCTTATTCCACCACCGGGATTAAACACCATTGTTATGTTGGAACTAGAAGAAGTTCCCAAGAACTTATCAATATCGTTAACTGATAAATCTAATCTTTTAGGTCCTATAAGTATCTTGTAAACCAATCATTAACAATGCTGGTTATATTTGGTATTTTTTATTAATTAAATTTTTGTTAACGTAGCTAAAATTAGTAGTTTTATTTATTTTCATATCATTAATGGTAATAAACAACATAGTTATTATGGGAATAAATATATTAATGCAGTTACTACCCATTATTCGTGATACTAAAAAACGTGGATATAAAATTATTTTTTAAATCCTTTTAAAAGCTTATTATTTTTATATGTTATTATCAGTACTGGATTTAACGCATTTGACGCCTGGGACTAATAAAAACAGCGTCCTTATATAAATGGAGTATTGGAGGTATGCGATGTGTTGGGTATCAACATAAAACAAAATATTTAAATAAAAATCAAAAAGTATATTTTTGTCGAAACTACTGTCTTCATATATATAGTATAAAACATGTCAATATTATGCTTAAATATAAATTAAAAATTGCATTTCTGAAAGATTGGAAATTTAAACTATAATATCATATATTCATATATCGTACTTCAATTTAACATTAAAATTATATATAGTTATTATCGGTTACCAGCTGATAAGCTGATAAAGATTTATAAACCAATTAAAATACGTTAATGCCGGAAAAAAATAATTAAAGATAAGCTTTATATAATTTTAAATAAGTAATGTGTAATACTATTTATTTTTTCATCGGTAGAAGTTAGAAAATGACTTGTGTCATAATTTATACATATTTAATTAATAATTATATATTTTATATTCTTCACTTTTTTTATTTTTCATAAGCTTAAATATTCCCTTATACCAACAGGGCTTGGAGAAAGGATATGATACCTACTTGTCTTTTCTCTTCCATTAGATCCGGCATTGGTCTAACGTTCTAGAAGGGTTTATTAATCTAACGTGATGGGGTAATTTAGTTTCAGGTACTTCATCGTTTCAATAGTTGTACATTTTTGTGAGACATTATTTGCAATAAATTTTATTATTACGTTAATTAAGTTTTAGTGCGTAAGAAATATGTTAAAATTACTAATATTAAACATTTGGTGAATATTTCATATTTTTATATGCAGCTGGTAAAGTTCCCAGGTTTTTCTTATTTTTTATCTCCACAAACATAGTTGATCGCATTATTGCAGTAAACCTATTTTGATAGCTAGTTTGTATAAATGTATAATGTAAATATTTAGTATAATATAATCATTCGTAAAATTCTAATAATGTCGCATTGATATAGTTATGGACTGTTGAACAAAAAAAAAAAAAAAAATAGTAATATTAAATATAATAAATATAATAAAATTTGTTGTGATTACGGTCGGTGAACGTGAACACTAGAAATTAACAAGATGACTATCAGATGAGAAACTGGTTGTCCATTTCAACTTCATACAGTTTATTATTCTGCAGTAGTTTATTTACGTAATTGAGTATAAAATATACAGTATAGGGTATTTGGATATTATGTTAAAAATGTCTTAGTTTATGATCTAAATTCAAAATACTTAAAACACCAATAACTATTATTATATGTTAAATTATACAAACTGATATTATTACATTTATAGTATAGACTATATTAAAAAAAAAAAAAATACCTAACAGCATTTTAACTGTTGTAATTTCAAATATTTACTAATATTCCAATGAACTGGTAAATGCATATTTTCAACACTGTTATCAGTCTTATCTAAACCATATTAGAATAAAGACGTTATAGATTCTCAAAAAGTTAACTTATACGAGTAAATAACCATAATAGTCACAATACGCTTTAAAATTTTATTTTTAATGATTTGTATATATTTTTTCTCGGTGAAAATGAAGTTTTTTCGATTTCATTTAATTGAGCAATATTCATCCAAATAAATTGATTCATAATAATTTTGTTGTATCAATTGTTAACCAAACTGCAAATACCCTCAACTAAAATACAATATGTATTTATTGTTTTAAAATGATGAAACACAGTAAGTACTGCAATATAATATTCACATTACAAATAAGTTTAAATCACTAAATTAAAATATAATATTGATTTATTTTTGAATTGCATTGTTTCTGGTCTTTGATACTCGTAAAAAAAAAAAAACGAATATTGAGATAAAACTAAAAACTATTGAAGTGTCTTTTCATTGCGTTATTATTCGGTATATTATTCTTATTGGTTTTTATTTATATTCTATAAATTTTAATTATAAATGGAATTCAACCAGAATCCAAAGAATATTAAAGTTATTACTTGTTAAGTTATATATAACTACTTATTATATTAGAAAAAAAATCATTTTATTAAATAATAATTTTTTTCCCCATTTATTTTCATGTTATAGTCTAATAGTAATTCACCAAAGTACCACTATACCTTAGTGTATTATAAATTTGGATTAGGGGTTTCGTAAAATTAGGAAAATACAAAGTATTCATACATAATATTATAGAGTGTACTTATAGGATGCTCCAGGATTATTATAAAGCATTCAAAGGTGTCGTGAAAATTAAGACTGAGAATCACTGTGTTAGGATAACCAATAGAGCAACATAGATTAAACATGTAGTAACACCATTTTATTTTTTTATAAAATGTATTCTTTTTAATTAAAATAATTTGAATAAGGATATTCGCTCATAGCTGCATTTTCCACCAAAATTTATTCCGCACTTTGTGGAAACTTTACTAGCTTATCGGGTTTAACTTTTAAAAACATATTTAAATTTGTTAAGGAGTTTCATTGAAAATTATTTAATCTATTTTTTGAATTGAACTCTTGAATTCTTCAAAATTTTGAATATCAACAATTTTAAAGTGTTAATAATATAGAACTAAAAATTTAAAAATATTAAAAAATATTTCACTTTAAGACTCAAGTAGAGTTTATGACGAATCAAAATATTATGAAAAAATGAATTTAAATATTTAATTAGATAATATTTATATTAAATATTACGGATGTTTATTAAAATAACAAGACTATATTTTTTAATAATTGATCTATTTCATAGGAATTTTTGTACATTATAAATTATAATAAGTGTCTAGAAAATTTTTTTCTGTTTTAAATTATTTGCTAATAGCTGAGCGAACTTCTAATGCGTACTTGGAACCTGCTGGCTGGAAAAAGTTTGTTTTTTTTTTATGAATTGAAGATTTTTTATATGATTTTGTGAATCATACAAATGTTTTTTGTTTTATGATTGAAGAGGGATAGTTGCTTTTGTGAATGTCATGAATGTCACAAAAAACTGTACAAGACTATTACCTAATAAATGTTAATATAAGTAACAGGACATGCGTATAAAAACACATTTTATTTTATTAATTATGATGATTTTAAGGTAGCCATAAAAAAATTGATTGATAATGATTAGAACACGGATTTTTATGCACTAAAAAGTATCGAAATAGGTATTCCATGTAATATGCAGTAAAAATTATAAAAATATGCAACAAATATGCAAAAACATTTTTTTTTATTTATATAAAATTTACAAATTAAACAACTTACAATAAATAATTACTTAAATAAACTAAGTATATAAAAATTTTTCGTTTTAATATGCATTATATTTTGAATTTTGTAAAAATATATAGAAATGTACAAATAAAATTTCACCATTAGATTCAAATTCTTATGATTCGTGAAGATAACTGAAAAAAATCTTAAAAATGAAAAAGAAAATAATAAGCGATTGTATATAAATCCGCCCTATGGTTATAACTTAATGCCAACAAAATTATTTTTAATATTTCTACTTGACAAAATGTTATTTTACACAATTTTTTTTAAAATTTTTGTGTTAATATGCAATATATTTCGAATTTTGTAGAAATATGCAAACATATGCAATAACTATTAAATATCTAGAAATATAAAAAAAAAAAATATTCATCATTAAATTCAATTTGTTATGATTCGTGAAGATAACTGACAAAAATCCAAAAAAGTAAAAGGGAAAATAAATATGGAATTGCATAGAAATCCGCGCTCTAAATTAATGATATATACCTAGTAATTGCCTATTACTATAGTATATGAAATATTATGAAGATAAAATGTTAGATTACTGTTTAGCATATATAAATTTACGAACACTTTGATTGAATTTGTGCACTTGTATTAGTGAAAAGTTTATATTTATTTTCCTTACGCTGATTAGGTATATTATCTGATTTGTTATATAAATTATTATAAAGTAATTAATTATATTTGTTAAACTGGACACGACTATAATTTCTATAACTCATATGATATTATTTATATTATTTATTTTATAGTATAGTTTAATCACGACAAACTTGATTTTAATCATTCGATGCATAAAACAATTTATAAAGAAACCATTAAGTTACAAGTAAATCATTGTTTATATCATATTGAATTGTGATAACTCGAGTGCATTGAACTGTTATCAATGTAAATAAGAGTCGTTTGATATATTTATCTTTTTTTTTTTATCAATATTGTTTAAATAATAATCTATCGTATCTCATAGTCATTTAACATTTCATTTTATATTATTCTCAACAATATATATTATTGTATGTTTGAAAATTAACTAATATATTTTTATATAAATGATTTACAAATTTTATATATACCTAGTTGTATTTTATTCATTATTATAATACTCGCTACAATATTTTGTATGTGTGTTAAGTTTTAACATAACATAATATGCAATATATTTACTAGACAACAAAAATATAATATGATTATTAATTGTGTATATGACGTTCACCATAGTAGTTGTACATGGCTTTGCGTAGTCCCATCAAAGCGCTGATTATTTCAGAGTTTTTCTTCTTCAGAATAACATTAGATTCGGAAGGCTTTATTAAATCGTTTGAAGTACTATCTTCCATGAATCTTTTACCGACAAACTGTAAAAACAAAATGCGTAAATAACTACAGATAATATTTATATTATATCTAATCTATGTATAAAGGACTACTAAGTTTACTAGTCACACGATGATACTTGCTCTCCCCCCATTTAAGGTTTTAAGCGGAAGATTTCGCCAAACTTACGAATTTTAATATTTATAACCTGTAAGATTTAAAATCTTAATTTAATAATTTCCATAACTCATAAGTTATTTTAATAAAATTAAAAGACAAAATATTCAACATAAAGACACTATTTTAAGAGTAAATGAATTATTCGAATTTTAAGGAATCTAATATTTACGTATAAAAGTAATAATTTATTATAAGTTTTGGTTTTGGTTTAAGTTTTGAAAAAAGTATTTGGGATCGATCAAAAAACTTGATATTTTATACATGATCCAATATACGCTGTTCAAAAACTTGGAAAACTATCAACCGTCTTAAATAATTTTGTGATGTTCGGAAATTGTATTTATGAAGAATTTACTTAAACAAAATTACCTTCAAAAACAAATGAAAAATGAAAATGTTTATTAAAAATCTTCATTACTATGACGAAAGATGCCATCAATTTTATTAGTCAGTTATTTGTTAAACTCGAAGGTCTACGGTCTATGGTTTGATGTCATCATTCTACCGCGATAAATCAAAAACTATAAGTGGAACATGGTTTTTATAAATATATTTTGATAATAACGGTTTGCAGTAGTTCCTTTCGTAATACAATTTTTGGAAATCTGTTAATTTTATACAGTATGGAAATTTGTTTTTTTAGAAAATCAGCCCGAAAGTCTTCATATGGATACACTTCAGAATTAAAGTGTATCTTCAGATTTTTCACTCGACAATGATTGAATTGACCACCGTCTTGGTTTGTATTATTTTTTTTGTTGTGTTTTAAATTCAATCAAAACAAATCTGGGTTTTTCGAGTAAGTTTCTAGACTATACCTCATCAAATACTTTCAACAGTTTTAATTTTTATTTATCACTGAATTTGATAATTGGCATTTTCTACGAGGCTTTTTTTCAGTTCAACTGTAATTTTTTCTCTCAACGTTATCGCCGGCTCTGGTATACACAACGTGTAAAATATTAAAATTGGTAGACGGATTGGTTACAATTAAGCAATATTTTTTTGTAATCTTCTAAAAATTCGAATAAATGTTTTAGAGGTATGTTTCCGGTAAACACATTTTGGTAATAGAATGTTTGTTATTATCAACACTATCCAACGATGAAACCCAGGTAGCATTCTCCAATGTATGCAAATCGTATAGAGTATATAAACCTAACTGCCTTGAGATATGTTACACCCGATTGCGAGGAAACATTGGGAAGTTGTACAAAAACCGAGATTCACTAATAAAATGCCGTATTTTGTATCAATTGATTGTTTTTTCTCGGTAAAGTCAGGTTATACCAGCTAAAAATTTAATATAACTTTGAGTTAGAAATTGTAAGCTAACGTACACACCTCGCGGGGTCCTTGCCTTTTTGATAATATACTTCTCGCACAATCGTAAGCGAGTCTCTTTCTATCTAATACAGAGTTGGCATTTTTAACAGAAAACTAAGTGCACGGGGTCAGATAGTATAATATAATATAATCATTTAATTGGGAAATAGCTATAAACTACAAGATATTACATTAAGATTTATTAACATAGTTTACCAGTATGGGTTTAGTATCAATCGGTGTGTTTGGTTCCTCAATGACAAAATTGTCGTCTGAACAATAATTTGGATGCAGCGGATATCCATTGGTCATGATGATGAGGTACGTCATGTATGTACAGATTAATAATAAGTGAAGAATATAACCCAAGAGTTTCCTGAAAATAATAAGCAAGTTTTTAATTTTTGATTACTGTTTATAGATACAATTTGTAACATAATGGTATGAAATAACAATACAATATGACCATTTGAGTTATTTTATTGTAATTCATAAATAAAAATTCTATAATGATAATACCTATATATATATTTTTTTAATATTCATAATGTTATTTAGTTATTTTTTATTTAACACGAAAAAACTTTCAGCAGAGATAAAATCATTTTCAAAAAAACTTCACCAATTTTACTAAAAAATATAATAGGTATAAACATATATAGAATTTTGATAACAATAATCAGATTTATTTCAAATTAAATATTTGTAAGTGGTTATTTATTATAACACATTACATATAATATTGTATACATATCATAATTTATTTTAAAACAATTAAATATTTAAATAATTAAAAGTATACTATTTTAGATATAAGTACAATGTTGCTCTTAAAATATTTTTAATTTAAATGGCATTGATAAACATAGAAAATAAAATAGATTGTGATATCTATTTGATTTTAATTTAATCTTATATGAATTTAATTGTTTTTTATTTAGAGTTAAGTTTAATATTATTATGGTTTATTGATGATTTTTACATGAATAGGTTAGTAAAATAAGAATAATAAAAAAATACAATTAATAATTTACTCATAGTAAAATATATTCTACTTACATGTTGTTGTCTTGCTATTTTCAATGATTCTGATTTGGCTACTGCAAATTGGGATATTATATACTAAAAATGGAGTTATACAATAATACCATCTCATTATTCTGAGTAGATGTCAATCTAGTATAATATTGTGAATTAACCGAAAACATTTCACTAGCAGATATAGGTGCTCAACAGGAGTCCATAAGCAGCACCATATCCAAGAGGGATGATTGAATTAGGGTTGAAAATCTCTATTGCTTTTTTTTTTATTAGTATTACTATTATGTGACTATACATTTTATATAGTCTTATTTATAACTTGAATTTTTTTTACACAAAAAAAAGAATATGACGGCTTGTCACATGCAATTCAACATTCTAACCAACTACTTTATTAAAAAATATATCATTGTACCATCGTTTTATGGCTCTGTTAGTACCTACTTAATTAGTACTTGGGAACATTTTTAAATGTTTTTTTTTTTGCCCATTAAACAAGCGTAAATAATTGAATTGAATCAATTTCAGAAAATAATAATATTCATTACACAATACTATTGAACGGTATTATTATGCAATAAAATTAATAAGGGCACGTGTATTATACATATGTACCCTTAAGATGTAATATTATTCAATAATACAGAAAACTTTAAAATTTACTTGTCGAACAAGTAAACGCAATAAAAAACAATATTTTAGGTTGGTTAATAAATACAAAATATACAAAAAAGAATCATACGATCTCATATTATTTTTATACATTGTTTTTTGTTTAACCATTGAGTCAATTGTTACTATTTATCAAAATGTTATATAAATTTATTGTTAAACATATTAATTATATCATGCGTACCAAATACTTTTGAAATTTAAATAAATATTTATTGTTATAAAAAAATGACATTCTATGTTTTGTGTAATGCTTTATTAGGTTATCTATATTATTAATAGATAGATAGTTAATTTAAGGTGGATAAATCAACGAAAAAAAAATTAATAATTTTACGAATACTAATTCAACGTTAATCATCATATTATATTAATCGAAAAATTAAAAATTAAATAACTAAATAACTAGTTAAGTTAAAACATTCAATAAAATTAATTTTTTAAAGTAGCTAACACTTTAAAGATACCTATAGTTAATGACCGTGTTTACGTTTTATCATGTAATCGGTAGGTAAGTCAATTTTTTTTACGAAGTCATCGCATAAGTGGTAATTTTTTTGCAATAAGTTTTAAATTCAACACTTATTAAAAATATACGGGTTGTGTAATAAATATTTCCGGTGGAAACTATTGTCCAGTTTGACCTTGATATCGTGTTTAAATTTAGTTTTCTAAATCGATGTACCGTGAATAATAATATCACATCGCATGCATAATATTATTTTTTCGTATTGTTTGCGCAAAAATTAATAACTTCTCGGCGCTTAACATCGCACATAACATATTATTAATATATACATCACTCGCCTGATAACAAAATTATACGTAGTGTGTACTTACCAACAAACTGTAAATTGATTGATGTACGAGTGTAAAGTTTCGGTTGGATAACATCATTGCATGTCCTGGTAGGCATAATATTATGATGTACAAAAATAAAAGAAACACGAAAACACCGAAACAGAGTATCACATCTGTTAGTAATTTTTTAATAGTTAATATAAAACAGTAATAATTTTATTTACCACCGGTTTACGGTTGAGGACGTGTTAAACAATTTAAAAATTGTCTACGAATCTAGTAGTCAGTATACCCTTATAATGAACAACAATAAAATATTTTTTCCGATGTTTCATAATTTTGTTTTGTTTCAACTGTAATAACATCTCGATCAACATTTAAATAACTTTTGCGCTTAAAACCGTTAAAATATGCGCATTGTGCATAAGTTTATCTACTTCAAAATGTTTAATATTTTAATTTTAATTGTATGTATTTATTTTAATATTTTTAGTTTAAAAAATTATGGAAATAAAAAAAAATTATAATAATAAGCGATGTGGAAATATGGTAGTTAATTTAAATTAAGTATCTAGATATTCTCTTCGTCATGGTGTAATTGGAACTACGGGTTTTCAAGTTTACTTTATAACTATACTGATGACTGATGACTATTATTATAGGTCCAACATTATATCTACCCAATTTTCGATTTATATAACCTATACAGTACACGCTATTATTATAAAGAAATAACCAAAGTATAAATACTTCCATAACGATAAGATAATTTTGATTTCTAGGTAACAGAATAATAAACCACCATAAAATTACGTCAAATAAGATATTGCAGCAAATTTTTTACCTATAAATTAATAAAATTTGAGCATTGTTTAAAAATATATCGGCATATAGAATTTCGTAAACCACGTTATTGTTCTTTTTATGGTAAACAATATCGAATTTTAGTGTTCAAGTAACAATTGTAAATGCGTTTTACGTGGTAAAAAAATTTTCAAATTTAAAATAAATTTAAATCCATATAATCTTGAGCACTGGATGTGTAACAACTTAAGAGTGAACCAATGTTATGATAATATAAAAGTTATTATATATTTTTTTATTTATAAATTATATGTATACATGTACATTTGTGCGATGTTTCTGCCTATTATAGCATTATTACGGCGTGCATACATACGTTGTCTATCAGGATTCGATGATATTTTGCATTGCATATTCAGGTGGTCTATGTTTGACTCACTTTGACATTTATTCATCGATTAATCATAGAAATAAATAACTTTAATTTTTGTAGATCTAGAAAAACGCGGGAAATGTAGTCCTATTCTTCAACCATAATTATGAACGAACAAAATAAATACAAATTATTATTTATGTACATTTTATCAATAATGTGTTTAATAACTATTTTATACAATTTAAAAAAATACTTGTTTGAATTTTGATTTTAATACGTCAACATTTTTAGAAATATAATCCACTAAGCAATTTAAAATAGAAGAGGGGGATCTTCATTAAAAAAAATCAAAAGTTTGTATCTCCACAGAATACTCCTTAAGTAGTGTTGTAAAAACTTCTAACAAATTGTAAATATGGTCTTAAAGTATATTTAAAAATTCTAAAAATTGTAATTTAAATAAATTCAATATTAAATTAAAAAAATTTAAGTGAGTATACTTGATGAATCTGTATATTTGATTAGGCCGGCAAACGAGTCCGTCAAACACACATAATATAAGTAAAATAATACATTGACGAATTCTATATTATACTTTTACCAAATTTTTTACAGAAAAAACAATAATTATATTCTTATGTCTTATCATCCGTGTTTATATCATTTAGAATTTAAATGAAAATTTTATTAGTTTATGAAAATACCATCTTCATTAATTAGTATGCATATAAAATTCCAAAATTATACTTTATACCAGTGATTGTATTTTAATTTTAAATACCTATGAGATTCCAATAATGCTTTTTCATCCCTATTTGGACCCTATTTTTAAATCATTGGAAAATGCACACATCTCCCCCTGTTTTACTGTACCTGTGTAAATGCATATTTATTTTTATTTTTTCATTATTATCGAGACAACAATAAGACGACATTTAAATGCCAAATAACTCGGTTAGCAAATTCAATAAAATCATAATTTTTATACGCCTATGTGAATGTCGTAATTACACCTGGAAATATATTATATTGTGTATTTTTTTTTTAAGATTTTCAAACGGAGGGTTTAACCCCGGATGATTAAAAAAATCTGGTTTGCACATAATTCACACAAACAAAAGTTTTTTTCTTCCCTCCGCGAATAAAAAAAAAATAACCTTCTAGGGTAATTTTTTTATTCTTTCATATATTTATTTCTTCAACTATGGTATAGGAATTTTTTCTACTTGTTGATCATTACCATTATATTTTTTTAATTTTGTTTTTCGTGTGATAAAATATAACAATACTACTTTATGTTAAATTAGGTAGATATACCGCAGGCATGTACGTTAAACTGTTAGATTAAATTATACAATCATTCTGAATTTATACCAACCACATTTTCATTTTATTTTTTGCATGTTAAAATTTAAAATATTATTCAATTATAAATTATAATATGTAAGAACTCATCCTAAAAATAAGTCAATTATTTATGGTTTTATGTATTTTATTAAGTCTTTGATTTAAGTTTATTAAAATATATGAAATTATATTAAATGATGGTTAAAAAGTATTATTTAATACTAGTAAATAAAATGTGTTCCAATTATTTTAATTAAAACTATAAATAAACTATAAATTAATTAATTTAATTACAGAGGTATAAGTTAATAAATTGTGAACACAATTTAATGATTTTATCATTAAAACTTGTAGAAAAAAACACTCATTAAAAAATATATTGCTATTTTCCATTTAAAAAAAGAAGGTAAACTTGCTGCTGTTGCAATTTTGGCTTTTGATATAACATTTTTAAAATGTTAAAAAATTAATCGTTTAAAATAATGAAATACGTCTTTTTTCGTTTTTTAATATTGTTGTAATCAATTAAAAACACGAGTACAACGATAAATAATAAATTATACATTATATAGTGAGTAAAATATGTATGTATTGAAAATAATCGTAGATCCACTACAGGTCTTTTATCATTCTCAGATTATAGTCAAAATTTTTTTTTTGTTTTAACTGAACAATTTATAGTTAAATCTTATATTAATTTATTTGATTTATTTTCTGCGTGGACAGACAGTTTCAAAACATATTTTTATTTAAATTGTATTTATTAGCATAATAAATATTAGTTATTTTATTCAAACACTTTAAAAATAAATAATATATATTATAATAAATCTTTATAAGCCAATTAACTTGTGTTTACAACAAATCAGTTATAATGTTTTCAGACATTTTATTAGCGTATTGTACATTAAGAACAGAAACACAAGTTATAGTGCATACTTACATGATGCTAATTTATTATTATTATTTATAAATAATATAAAATAATATAGAGGAGTGAAAGTGGAGTATTTTAAAAGTTTACATACTATTTACTTTACACATCCCCATTACACATCAAAATTTGATACTTTCGCAAAGTGATAGTATTAATAGTAATGGCTGTAATTTAAAAAAAATATAATCGAAAAAATATTTTACTTCAATCACTTCTGTGGCATTACTATCATCAGACTAATGTTATATTGTTTCTATAATTATTTGTTGGTAACGTAACTATATTATTATAAATTTGAAATTTATATTATAATTTATTCTAAGATTTATTCTATTATATTCTAAGATTATTTCTATGTACTAAGAATATTTTTGGAGAGATGGTTTAAAAAATATTTATACTCTAAAATTGTATTCAAAAAACTTGAGAACAATGAAAACTAAAATAATTTAATATTTTAATGCAGAATAACTATAATTAGGTGTGTATAAATAATTTTTATCTGTAACATTGTTTAAATTTGTGGGTAAGTTATTATAGGTTTTTACTATTTTTTTTTTTTTTTAGATAA